GTACCCTCCCAGCATCTGCAGTTAGAAGCAAAGCCTTTTCTCTTGCTGAGATCCTGGAAGGCAGCCGTCAGCCAGAAAGATCAGTACAGGGGTACCTTGGTTCTCGAACTTAGTCCGTTCCGGAAGTCCGTTCCAAAACCAAAGCGTTCCAATACCAAGGCGCGCTTTCCCATAGAAAGCAATGCAAAAAGGATTCATCCGATCCAGACTTTTAAAGACAATCCCTAAAACAGCAATTTAACATTAATTTTGCTGTCTAACGAGACCATTGATCCATAAAATGAAAGCAATAATCAAAGTAGTGTACTATAAAATAAATAAGACAGTATTGTAGATGATAAAAATAAAAAATTTCTTACCTGCACTGATGATAGTCATTGTTTTGATGGGGGACTTTTATCTATTTCCACAGTCACAATCAATCAATCAATAGCTGAACTGAGTTCCACACAGTCACAAAAACAAATTAACCGAAAAAGCCTCAAAAACAAAAACACAAAATAAATAGCAAAAATAAAACCACCAAACTTAATCAGTTCCGGAAGTCCGTTTGACTTCCAAAATTTTCGAAAACCAAGGTGCAGCTTCTGATTGGTGCAGGCACCCCAGAAACCATAGTTGACAGTTGCTCAGCTTCCGAAAAACGTTCGAAAACCGGAACACTTACTTCCGGGTTTTCGGCGTTTGGGAACCAAGGTGTTTGAGTATCAAGGTCCCACTGTAATGGGCTAGGTGGACAAGTAATCTCGTCTCGTATAAGGCATCATCATGGCATTACAGTGTGGGAATCGTAGCAGCCGTAAAAACAATGTTTTCAAGTGATTATTGGAGGAAGTGGGTTGCATCCAGCTGTGTTCTGCTCAGAGTACACCCTCTGAAATTAATGGATGTAAATTGGCCATATCTGTTTGTTTGTTTGTTTGTTTAACAGGGTTTATATACCCCATTACTTCCGAAACCTCTAGGCCAGTTGTTCCCAGTTAGCTAAGAACTGCGAACACCCTGTTTTTCGAAAGCTAGGCCATGGACCCCAAACTTTTGAAAATTTTGATATCTCTATGATACTTTTTAGGGACGAGGGTGGTCTAAACCAGTGTTTCCCAACCGGTGTTCCGCGGCACACGAGTGTGCCGTGAGACGTTGCCTCGTGTGCCGCGAGATGCCTGGAGGGAGGCGGGCGAGTCGGGCGGCGAGAGGCGGGGCGGCGGCGGCGAGGAGAGGCCGCGCCTCCTGCTGCTGCCTGGCGCTCCTCCTCGCAGCCGGCAGCGCTGCCTGGGCGCCTCCGCGCGACTCTGCCTCGCTGGGTTTGGTCTCCCAGCAGAGACGGGTCACACGCGCCCCTCCCTCCCTCCCTCAGCCTGCGCGGAGGGAGAGCCAGAGAGAGGCATCGCTCCTGCGCGGCGGGAGAGGGAGCTTGGCGCGGCCGCGGTTTTTATAGGGCGCCCGGCGCGCACCAGCTCGATAACGGGCACCGGCGCAGCGGGGGGCGCCGGGCCGGGGGAGGGGGGCGGCCGGCCTGTCTCCTTGGCAACCCCATTGAGCAGCGCCGGCTCCCCCGGGAGGGCCATCCCCCCGCGCCGCTGATCGCCAACACCGCCGACGCTGTGGCTGCCCGAGCCCGAGCCTGAGCCCGAGCCCGACCCGGAGCCCGAGCCCGAGCCTGAGCCTGAGCCCAAGCCCGTCAGTCAGTCAGGAAGGAAGGAAGGAGAAATGGGGAGGGAGACGAGGGAGGAAAATTGCGCGCAGGGTGAAGAAAGGAGAAGGGCGAACGAGACGAGCTTCCAACCCAAAAAAGGGCTGGAAGACTGGGAGGATGCAGGATCGGGAAAGAAAGCGACGCCTTCCCCGCCCGCGACGGCGCCCGCTTGTCATTGGCAGCGCAGCGGGCGCCCAGAGGGGCTGGGCACCGGCGCAGGGCCGCTCCGCAGCCGCGGAGGACAGCTGCGCGGCTAGCAAGGTGCGCCGCGTAGAGCGCGGCCCTTGTGTGGCCCGGTGGCCAGGCAAGCTCGGGCGGGGACCCCCATGCGAATCTAAGACGGGAGAAGAGGGCAGAGCAAAGGGGCTCCCTTCCCCAACCTCCGGCTCTGAGACTTCCCTGAGCCCCAGAAAAGCGAAAGGATTTCCCCTTTTTTTATATATAAATATTTTATTAAGTTTTCAAATACAAAGTTAGAAACATACACTGAAGAAAAAAGTAAAAGAACAAGAAAAAGAAAAAAAGAAAAAGAAGAAAAGAAAACCAACCATTCAACACATTTTTTATATAACTAACTGGACTTCCTCGCATCTCCCTTACCCTGCATTCTTTATAATAAAGATATCAGCAAATTATTACCTTGTTTCGTACCTTATTTTGTACTTTTCAAATACTATACCTCTAAATTTAACATACTTTTCATCAGTTACTTATATCTTAAATTAAACATAGTATTACCTTAGATTTTGACCTTTTCTTACTTAAAATATAATTTCCTGTTTCCCAAATCTAATTGCTGAAGCTATAGTTTCCGAATCGTGTAAATTTTTAACATTCATACAACTTATATTGCTTTTGGAAATAGTCCTTAAATTTTTTCCAGTCCTCTTCCGTTGTTTCTTCTCCCAAATCTCGGATTCTGCCAGTCATTTCAGCCAGTTCCATGTAGTCCATCAATTGCGTCTGCCACTCTTCCAGTGTGGGCAAATCTTGTGTCTTCCAATATTTTGCGATAAGTATTCTTGCTGCTGTAGTTGCATACATAAAGAAAGTTCTATCCTTCTTTAACACTTTCTGGCCAACAATGCCCAAGAGGAAGGCCTCTGGTTTCTTGGGAAAGGTATACTTAAATACCTTTTTTAACTCATTATAGATCATTTCCCAGAAGGCCTTCACTTTTGGACAAGTCCACCAGAGGTGAAAGAATGTCCCTTCAGCCTCCTTACATTTCCAACATTTATTATCAGACAGGTGATATATTTTTGCAAGCTTGACTGGGGTCATGTACCACCTATAAATCATTTTCATAATATTTTCCTTCAAGGCATTACATGCCGTGAATTTCATTCCGGTGGTCCATAACCTTTCCCAGTCCTCAAACATGATGTTATACCCAATATCCTGAGCCCATTTTATCATGGCTGATTTGACTGTCTCATCCTGAGTGATTTTCTCTTCAACCTGCCCTCCATCCTCTTGCGGAAAACTCTTTGCCTGCCCTGCCCGTATCTCGTTTTTGCTTTTTAATTCCACACACGCACCCTTCAGACTTCGTGGCAATCGGGCGCGCGGGTGCGTTTCCTAAGAGAGTGAGGACCCCCGCCTCCTCCCCACCTGCTCCCTCGCCAGCCAGCCAGCCGCGCGCCCTAGCCGGAGAGCCCCGGCCGTCCCCGTCGCGCAATCGGCTGGATCTCCCTTCAGCAGGCCGTGCTCACAACTCGGCCCAGGGACCCCCAGCAGCGGATCTCCGGCCCAGCTGAAGAATCCGGCAACAAGCCCCCTCCTCCCCAATCGCTCCACCGAAATATGCTCCAAAACCCCCCAGATAGGCCGCCGGCCGCCAAGTCTCGTGGCGCCCTGAGCGAGGGTCTCTCCCCAACACCGCCACCTTGAACTGCGTTCTCCCGGCTACCCGAGCGAACCAGCGGCAGGACCCCGGTATGGGCCCCCCCAATATTTTTTATAAGTCGGCGCCCCTGATAACTATAACTTGTGGTTCTGATGTCCCAACGCTCCCACGGGGCACATTTCATTCAGGCGGAGGAGGGGGTCGTTGGCTAACGGCCAACAGGCAGAAAGGACTGTCCAACAATGCGATTATCCACACACACACATCTGATCCATGGATTAACATCAAAATCCTTGCATTAAAGCTCACTCCTAAGGAACCAGTGGGTCATTAGGCCTTCAGATGCACTTTGAACAAAGAGATGTTCAAAGGGAAAGCTGCTTTTAATAACACTGCTTTTGCAGGTACTATTGGTCTGGGTCTCATCCAGCATCTTTTCAGTACACCCAGTTAGGATTCAGCAGTCCAGTTGTACACTCTTGGGTATTCAGCATTAGCTTAAGGCGTGCAATAATCACATGCCCACTTTTGCAGCATCTTCATAGCATCCCAAGTCACTCTTGGAATGCTCTCTTTATCATACCCTGCAAGTGTTTACTTGTGTAACACATCCTACCATATCTTGCAGAGAAGCACTTCAGAGAGGGCCAAAACCCCCCACACTTGGTGCCATTTTCATCTACACATGCAGCAGAGTAAGTTGACCCAGAATAGTACCAATTCAGATGGCAGATGGGAGAATGACAGTGCTGAATGCTTTCCCATGTAGAACAGTCCCTGCAAATAAAAACCTAGCATATTTGGAAGAGGGATGCTAGCCTAACCATTACCTTCTATGCTGTTACTATTTTTTTTATTTTATTTTTTACATAAGTAAAAAGTGACCTTTCCCCATCTGGCATGGTGGTGTGCCTCGAGGTTTTTTTCATGGAACAAGTGTGCCTTTGCCCAAAAAAGGTTGGGAAACACTGGTCTAAACCACAGAGCCTAGGACTTGCCGATCAAATGGTCGGCGGTTCAAATCCCCGCGACGGGATGAGCTCCTATTGCTCGGTCCCTGCTCCTGCCAACCTAGCAGTTCGAAAGCACGTCAAAGAGCAAGTAGATCAATAGGTACCACTCCGGCGGGAAGGTAAACGGCATTTTCGTGCTTCTCTGGTTTCGCCAGAAGCGGCTTAGTCCTGTTGGCCACATGACCCGGAAGCTGTACGCCGGCTCCCTCGGCCAGTAAAGCGAGATGAGCACCACAACCCCAGAGTCAGTCACGACTGGACCTAATGGTCAGGGGTACCTTTACCTTTACCAGCCGACATAGGTATTTGGGGGGTTTACTTGTGTAGCAAAACGTGTGTCAAGTGAACGGAGGGTGAGTTCCTTCTGCAAGAAATCTGTTCCCTCTGTTGTCCAAAGTGTGCAAAAGTGCCCACATTCTTACCCCCTGACCTCACTTCCCAGGACAGCCTCGGGGGCAACAGCAAAACCGCCATGGTCGCTACAGTGAGCCCTGCGGCTGATAATTACGACGAGACCCTCTCCACTTTGCGGTACGCCGACCGGGCCAAGAACATCGTCAACCACGCCGTGGTGAATGAAGACCCCAACGCCCGGATCATCCGGGAACTGCGGGAGGAAGTGGAGAAACTCAGGGAACAGCTCACCAAAGCCGAGGTGGGTTTGCTGTGTGGAATGAGTTTCCTTGGTCCTGCAGTGCCCAGTTAGCCGATTAAATTGAACTTCTGTTTTTTCTAATGGACTGATTTACCGTATTTTTCGCTCCATAGGGCGCACCTTTTTCCTCCTCAAAAGTAAGGAGAAATGTCTGTGCGTCTTATGGAGCGAATGTGTGGTCGATCGCTGGCTCCCTTGCCCAGGCCTCCATTGTTGAATGTTCTGCAGACGGAGGCAGTTTCTTTCCCCAGCGACATGGGACTGGCTGATTAGATTATCTGTCTGGAAACTGTAGGAAGGGATCCCTTTCCTTTCCTAAAGAAGCTGCAGAACTTTGAGTTGAACCCCATAAAAACAGAATTTTTTCCCCTTTTGCAAAGTAAGCTCAACAACTTTGAACTGATCCTCAAAAAAGGGGGCTTTTCCCGACTGCAAAAGAAGCTGCACAACTGTGACCTGACCCCCCCCAAAACGGGGCTTTCCCGCTTTCCTCCTCTAAAAACTAGGTGCGTCTTATGGAGCAAAAAATACGGTAACTGTCCACAAAGACCAGCACCAGATATATTTAGTTCCTTGCCAACATTGTTTGCTGGCGGTAGGTGACACCTGAGAAGAGGCACCCTCTGTTTTCACGCAGAAGCGAAGGCCTCTTTTGTCATAGCTCCTTCTGGGACCGATAAATGCAACTCTAAAAAAAGGTGCTCATTCATAGGCAAAATTCATGCAACTATGAGTTCCTTTAATTGAGTGACAGCCCTCCAATTTACAGCTCATTAAAGAGTTCCCGTAAAGTTGTTTTGTTTCAGCCAAGCATCTCAAATCTCTCTCACGGGTTGTTGGTGGGTTGTTGTTTTTTTGAGGTTTGTTTTCCTGCTCTTTTGGCAACCCAAAGTCCCCCTTCTACCTGCACCTTTTAACTCCCCTCACCTTGGCACAGACCTCGGCCATCTTATAACTGTTTGTTTTGCACTAATAAGGTCACGTTTTGCAAGGCTGGTTCTTTTCCCATGCCGGTGCCCTCAGCTAAAACCTCACACATCACGGCTGCCGATTCCTGAGCGCAGCATCTTTGGTTCCTTTTCTCAGCAACTCGGATCACAGCGATAAGACAGCTGGGAGCCCCACACACACACCCCAGCCTTAAGCAGTGGTATTTCTGAGAAATATTCCTTCTCCAGCTTTCTCTCCCCTTTCCTTTCTGCGGCTTCACAGGCTATGAAGTCTCCAGAACTGAAGGACCGCTTGGAGGAGTCTGAGAAACTTATCCAGGAGATGACTGTGACCTGGGAGGAGAAACTGAGGAAAACAGAGGAGATTGCACAGGTCTGTATTTCTGTTTTGAGGGGGGCTGGGGGTGCAAATAATCAAATAATCCCTTCACATGACTTTATGGTATTTTGGGGGTAAGCTGGCCAACTCATGCTCTGCAAATGGGTCTTTGCTTAATTCCTGGGGTGGTTGTTTTCCAAGGGAGATTATTACTGCTTTCGGAAACAAAGGACGTGTTTACTGGCAAACAGATTTATTACGGCATTAGCTTTCGTGGACTAGATACCACTTTGTTTGTTTTGTTCATTCGTTATTTCCGATTTGTAATCCGATCTCCCTTCCCGAAGGGGAGGTGGCAAACGATAATAGAATTACACAAAAACAATTACATGGTCATCTAGCCTAACCCCGCAGGTGCTCTGCCATTGAGCTATGGCTCCTCCTCCCATGTTGAACAAATGCACCCCCACACTTTTGCTGTCTTTTAAACAATTACATATTGCAGACCATAGTTAAAATCAGCAGCGGAAAAACCTCGTAAAACTCTCAACTGGATAAATGTAGAGGAAGCATTTACATCCCCCCTGGGAGGGAGTTTCACAGAGGAGGGGATACCACCAAGAGTGCCCTGCGCCAGATCCACTCTTCTTGCTAGTCCTCCTCGCAGGAGGATGAGCAGGGCCTGTAAGACAGAGCTATTCCGCCTGGCCTTCAATTTGAATTAGCCTGATCCTCTATGCCCTTTTCCCTTTCCTCTTCTATGAAGAAACCCTTTCTGGGACCCAACATTTAAATTCTTCCCTGGTCTCCTTGCTGGTCCTAGTAGGACCAACTTGGCCAGTTAGTCCTGGTGATCATTTGATGTCTACGGACTGGGTCCATCCGCCCTCCCCCAAATGATCCCTGAATTTTATTGATATTGATGCTGCATTTTATGTTGTATTTTATGCTGTTTTATGCTGTTTTTAAGTTGCATTTTAATCAATGTTTTATATTTGCTGTTAGCCGTCCTGAGCCTAGTTTTTAAACCGGGAAGGGCGAGGTATAAATAAAAATTTATTATTATTTATTATACTAACTTCTTGAGTAGAAACCAATAGCTTCTAGGTCTTGGGAATATCGGTTATATGGTCACTTTTTGCCTCTCTGTGTCATAACCAGGCAGAGGGACACAGGTGGCGCTGTGGGTTAAACCACAGAGCCTAGGACTTGCCGATCAGAAGCTCGGCGGTTCAAATCCCCGCGACGGGGTGAGCTCCCGTTGCTCGGTCCCAGCTCCTGCCCACCTAGCAGTTCGAAAGCACGTCAAAGTGCAAGTAGATAAATAGGTACCGCTCTGGCGGGAAGGTAAACGGCGTTTCCGTGCGCTGCTCTGGTCCGCAAGAAGCGGCTTAGTCATGCTGGCCACATGACCCGGAAGCTGTACGCCGGCTCCCTCGGCCAGTAAAGCGAGATGAGCGCCGCAACCCCAGAGTCGGCCACGACTGGACCTAATAGTCAGGGGTCCCTTCACCTTGACCATAGCCAGGCAGCAGCATTCTGTGCTAGCTGAAGCTTCCACCTTCAAGGTTAGCCCCATGTAGAGTACATTGTAGTATTCTAACTTGGCGCTTGTTGGACCACAGAGGCCATACTCTCCCTGTCCAGAATTGGCCCTGCTTACCCCTAAGTACCCCTAAGCTGTGTGCCTGCTGGCTCATACCCTGGTTCCCAAACCTGAGCACCAGGTTGACCCGCAGGACCCTCCGTCTTGCCAGGATTTAACTTCAGTTTAGGGATGCTGGTGGCGCTGTGGTCTAAACCACTGAACCTCTTGGGCTTCCCGATTGGAAGGTTGGTGGTTCAATTCCCCACGACACAGTGAGCTCCCGTTGTTCTGTCCCAGCTCCTGCCAACCTAGCAGTGCGAAAGCATACCAGCGCAAGTAGATAAATAGGTTCCGCTGCAGCGGGAAGGTAAATGGCATTTATGTGCGCTCTGGTTTCCATCACGGTGTTCCGTTGCGCCAGAAGCAGTTCAGTCCTGCTGGCCACATGACTCCGAAAGCTGTCTGTGGACAAACGCCGGCTCCCTTTGCCTGAAAAGCGAGATGAGTGCTGCAACCCCATAGTCGCCTTTACCTTTTATGTACCTTTTAACTTCAGTTTATTGGCCTTCACCCAGTCCATCATTCCTCCCCAATCCCCTAACTCTGCTTTCTCGTAATATTTTTGTTCCTTCGTGCAGGAGCGGCAAAAGCAGCTCGAAAGCCTTGGCATCTCTCTCCAGTCTTCTGGGATCAAAGTTGGCGATAACAAGTGCTTCCTGGTGAATCTGAACGCGGATCCTGCTCTCAACGAGCTCCTGGTCTACTACTTAAAGGTGAAATGCCAGAACGTTACACGGGGTCATTTCCAAACGAAAGCTTGCCCCCCTCGGTGTGAGTTCAGTTCATGAGTCCCACTCTGGGGGAATCTGTCAGCTATTGAAACAGTAGTGGTAGTTGTAGAAAATTATGATGATGATGATGACTTTCCTTCCTTGGAGGTTAGTAAGCAGAGCTTGGATGTATCAGGAGATCTTCCTACGCTCAAGTAGGACCCTGGCAGAGACACATGCCCAACTGGCTTGTTCCCTTCCTCCTGGTCGATCGTTCGGGAGCTTCAAAAGCTTTCTTCTGCCCAAATATCACAGCAACCGATGCCAACAGACACCGGCACACTTGGGGATCTGCAGAGTCTTCGCAGTTTGCGTAACGGACCTCAGCAACTCAGCATTTTGGCTAATCTACTTTATTTACATATAAACACACACGGAGCACTGCAACATGGCTCCCTCTCTCTCTAGCATCAGACAGCAAAGAGAAAAAGGACAATAGTCCCACTTCACAGAACACAGTAACACAAACATCCTGTCTCCATCACTTCCCACTCTGTGGAGTTAAAACATACACCATCATGTGATAGACAACAATCCCATGACTGCAATCATGGAGCAGGAATTCTAACAGAATGGCCATCTGTCATGGATGCTTTAGCTGAGATTCCTGCATTGCAGGGGGTTGGAATACGTGACCCATGGGTCCCTTCCAACACCATGATGCTGTGATTCTACACCTTTATAATTATGAATTACAGTCATACCTTAGTTCGCGAACGCCTTGCGAGTCGAACGTTTTGGCTCCTGGATGCCACAAACCCAGAAGCGAGTCCTTTGGAACCTGAACATCCTGGCAAACGTTCTTTGGAACCTGAACATCCGACGCGGCTTCCGATTGGCTGTAGGAGCTTCCCGCAGCCAATCGGAAGCTGCGCCTTGGTTTCCGAATGTTTTGGAAGTCGAATGGACCTCCGGAACGGATCCCATTCGACTTCCGAGGTACGACTGTATATGAACATAAACATGAAATTTATTACGGTCAGAGACCAGCTAGAGGAACACAAATGGAACTACAATCCCAATAGCAAAACAAACATTTAAAAAATATACAACAATAGATTTTAAGTTTAAAAGTGCGATAGGCATATAAACACATAAAAACTTTAAAACAGACTACCTTAGAGAAGGTACGACTGTATAATTAAGTGTGGATGACTCCGAGCACAATATTGAAAACACAATGAAGCATCACCCATGTTTGGGTCGGGAGAGAGATCCTAGCTGATGTGAAGTCAGAGGTAGAGACTTCGTAGCTTGTATCTCTGAAGCACTGTTTCGCTACTGACTAGAACCCGAGTGTTCCTGCATGTACACAAGCAGTTGTGACTGTGGTTTGAAGTGGAAACCTGTTATAACATTGGCTCCCAGTATGTTTCTGAACACAATTCAAAGCTGAGCTTTAAAGCCCTAACAGCCTTGGCCCAGTATACCTGAAGGAGCGTCTCCACCTCCATCGTTCAGCCCAGACACTGAGATCCAGCGCTGAGGGCCTTCTGGCGGTTCCCTCACTGCGAGAAGTGAGGTTACAGGGAACCAGGCAGAGGGCCTTCTCGGTGGTGGCACCCGCCCTGTGGAACGCCCTCCCATCAGATGTCAAGGAAATAAACCACTATCTGACGTTTAGAAGACATTTGAAGGCAGCCTTGTTTAGGGAAGTGTTTGATGACTGACGTTTTAATGTATATTTAATCTTTTGTTGGCATTATTATTATTATTATTATTACTATTAGAGGAGAAGAGGCAGTGAGATCAGGGCTCCAGATCTGTAAGCCAGTCCCCTGGGGCTGTTGCGCAAACAGTCTGATGATCTCAGTGGTCCCAGATTCATTCCCAGCTAGGGCTGGGGAAGACTGCCCTCTGCCATAATAATAATAATAATAATAATAATAAATTATTTGACACCGCCCACCCATCTGGCTGGGCGGCTTCCAACAAAGATCAAAAATACATTAAAATGTCACACATTAAAAGCTTCCCTGAACAGGGCTGCCTTTAGATGTCTTCTAAAAGTTTGGTAGTTGTTTTTCTCTTTGACATCTGACGGGAGGGCGTTCCACAGGGTGGGCGCCACTACCGAGAAGGCCCTCTGCCTGGTTCCCTGTAGGTTTGCTTTTCGCAGTGAGGGAACTGCCAGAGGGCCCTCGGCGCTGGACCTCAGTGTCCGAGCAGAACGATGGGGGTGGAGACGCTCCTTCAGGTCTACTGGACTGAGGCTGTTTAGGGCTTGAAAGGTCAGCACCAACACTTTGAATGGTGATTGGAAGCGTACTGGGAGCCAATGTAGGTCTTTCAAGACCGGTGTTATGTGGTCTCGGCGGCTGCCCCCAGTCACCAGTCTAGCTGCCGCATTCTGGATTAATTGCAGTTTCCGGGTCACCTTCAAAGGTAGCCCCATGTAGAGCGCATTGCAGTACTCCAAGCGGGAGATAACCAGAGCATGCACCACTCTGGCGAGACAGTCTGCGGGCAGGTAGGGTCTCATCCTGCACACCAAATGGAGCTGGTAAACAGCCGCCCTGGACACAGAATTGACCTGCGCCTCCACAGACAGCTGTTAGTCCAGAATGACTCCCAGGCTGCGCACCTGGTCCTTCAGGGGCACAGTTACCCCACTGAGGACCAGGGAGTCCTGTACACCCACTCGCCTCCTGTTCCCCAAGAACAGTACTTCTGTCTTGTCGGGATTCAACCTCATCCCATTAGCTCTTCGGAGAGCTGCTGCCAGTCTGTGCAAGCAATGCAGAGCCAGATGGACCATTGGTCGTTGCAAGAGCTCCCTCTTTAAGGAGTGCTTGCTTTGCAGCAGCCAGAAGAATTCAGGGCTGGGAGGGTTCCTCGGACACCCCCCCCCCCTTGCTTGCTTGGTAAGAAGCAACAAAAGAGCTGATTGGAGTCTTTTGGAGTGGATCCGGAGAACTTCCCAGAGGTGTAGGTGTCTGGGCTGTGACTCAAAAGTGCTTCGTCAGCTCTCTCTCTCTCACACACACACACACACACACACACACACACACAATACTCCCGTTTCTGAGCCTGAAGGCGCAGCAAGAATGCCTTGGCAGCGAGACAAATTCAGGAGGGTGACCTTGAGTCGCTTGCAGAAGGATCGGGTTTCCTCTTGGCGCCCTGATAAGTTAGAGGTCAGGAGAATATAGGGAGGGGCGAGAAAGAGGAAGCGGGCGCTTTCAGATCCTGGTGCGATAGAGAGGAATAAACAAGGTCCTCCTTATTTCATGCAGTCCGTCCTCTAGGAAAAGAGTCGGCAGGTGTTCTGAAGCCAGCGGACCTGATCCAATATATGTTATTCCCAGGAATCTCTGCAAACAAACTCACAGCGCCGCCTCGGCCTCCTCTGCTGTCGTCCGCCCTACGTCACAGATTTGCTTCTCCTCTGACAAATGAAAAATAATTTTTAAAAGCTGGATTTTTGCTCTTGGAATCAAGAGAGGTGCCAGCAGTTGGAGAGGGCAATACAGTGGTACCTCAGGTTAAGTACTTAATTCGTTCCAGAAGTCTGTTCTTAACCTGAAACTGTTCTTAACCTGAAGCACCACTTTAGCTAATGGGGCCTCCTGCTGCCGCTGTGCCGCCAGAGCACGATTTCTGTTCTCATCCTGAGGCAAAGTTCTTAACCTGAAGCATTATTTCTGGGTTAGCATAGTCTGTAACCTGAAGCGTATGTAACCTGAGGTACCACTGTAAATCTTGGGCCCGTTTCATGGCATCTTAGTTTCATGTTGGTGGCAATTAGAGGAAGCAAGAGCGGTGGCAGGAAGAAAGAGAGAAGAGGGGGTGATGCAGAGGGGGGGCCCTACTCAATTTTTGGGGGGTTCGTTAGCAGAATTTCCCCCCCTGATACAGTATAAGATTGAATTGATGCAGGTCAGATTCTTCACTAGTTAGGAACACTGAAAGCTGCCTTATACTGAGTCAGACACACTGGCTCAGTTATAGTTTTATTTCTTTCTGTATTTTACTAGATACGGGTGTGTGTGTTTTGCATTGCTTTAATCCCATAGATATTTGTGGGGTTTTTAATAATTTTATTTTTTTTACCAACAACCAAAACACAAAACAGAGAAAACAAACAGTGAAAACCCCCAGGCGGCTGACACATTGGGTATACGTAATCAATAATAACATAATCAAATCAACCATATGTACAATTCTATACACCTTAACACTCCTCCCTCCACAAGGCTTATTTAACTTTTAACATTTTAATTGCCCCATATTGTTCAAACCTGCCCAAATAATTCAATATTCTCTCAAACCAACCCTCCTCCTTCTCACTGACCTTAAACCCTTTCATTTTATGTATCTTCAATCCCATAGAGAGTTTAATTACTTTTTTAACAGTTGCCCTTTATATATATATATTTATTCAGCTGGTTGAGTCTTATCTGTGTATGTTTACATTTTTGTGAGCCACCTGGAGTCCTGGTTCTGGGGGGAAAGCAGAATATAATCAAATATAACAACAACATCATCATCATCATCATCATCATCAACAACAACAACGGTATACTGACTGGTAGCAGCTCTCCAGGGTTTCAGGCTGGGGCTGCCTGGGATTGAATTTGGGATTTTTCGGGTGCATAGAAGGGACCCCATGGGTCATCTAGCCCAACCCTGCAGGTGCTCTGCCATTGAGCTATGGCTCTTCTTCCATGTTGAACAAATGCACCCCCACACTTTTGCTGTCTTTTAAACCGCCCGTCAACCTTGAACCTTTTGCAGGAGCACACGCTGATTGGGTCAGATAACTCCCAAGACATCCAGCTTTGTGGCATGGGCATTCTGCCTGAACACTGTATAATTGACATCACCTTGGACGGCCAGGTTATGCTGACACCCCAGAAGAATACTAGGTAAGATGAGTGTTTGTTTATTTGCTTCCCTCTCTCTCTCCTTCCTTCCTTCCTTCCTTCCGTTACAAGAAAAACTGCTCCCTTTCCGTTATATTCCGGAGCTTCGTATAGAGTCCTTAAGTGGGTTACCCAGCGGTAGGAGAAAACAATAGAGGCCAACCAGAGAATATTGAGAAGCAAAGCGGCTAGTAAGCCTGGTCTTTATTAAACTGTTGCAACAGGGTCCTCACTCACCACACGCAGCAGGAAGGAGGAACCCAGAACAATGGTGTGCAAATTGATTTCTGAAATTGCCCACCCTGTAGCTCAAGACCACCCCCTCAAAAAAAACCACACACATCATGCATACATCACAGAAGGAGGCGGTCTGCAGCAGAAATCCTGCCTGCCAGGATACTTGATAATGGTCACTGATAGTATTACCTGGGCAGCCTGGCCATTCTTTTGTGATGGTTAATACTCTAGTTCCTGAGTCCAGGTCACAGGCTCACCCTATTCATACACAAGTACGTCCTTAAGACAGGTTACAGGTAGGTAGCCCTGTTGGTCTGCCATAGTCAAAACAAAACAAAACAAAAATCCTTCCGGTAGCAGCTTAGAGACCAATTAAGTTTGTTATTGGCATGATCTTTCATGTGCATGCACACTTCTTCAGATACCTTAAGACAGGATTTGCAAGCGAAAATACAATGGGAAGGCTTTCCCCATATGCCTCCTTCACTGCAGAGGAATATTTGAGGTCACTGGGAGAGTCAAAATGGCTCTAGGATTTCTCTCCTGTACTATTTCTGACACGTGGTTCATATATTTATAGATATGTGTTCATTTATGAATATTTATATTTAAGACCTTAAAACCCTTCCTTCCTTCCTTCCTTCCTTCCTTCCTTCCTTCCTTCCTTCCTTCCTTCCTTCTGTCTTTCTATCTTCCCCTCCCTCCTTCTCTTTCTTTCCTGAAAGAAAGCCTTGTGGCTTTTCCTGCAGAGTGGTTCATAAAACATGGAACGAATTCTGAAATTCCACTTATGGGAAATTAAGGAAATCAGCCCAATTCCCCCATTGGCTGCCTGAACCTCCCTTCTTTCCTTTCTCAACATCCCACTTCATTCTAAACAGAACAAATCAATGCGGAGAATTTAAATGGAGACATGGTGCCAAAACTGTGGGCTTTCTCGGCTTGGAATTTTTTATGCATTCAGTAAAAATCGAGAGAGGGGGGGAGGCAGAGACAGGCTCTCTGTGAGGCTACCTGCCACTCCCTGCAGCGACTTAGAGCTTCCGGGGCCATCTTGGCTGTGAGTCCTGGAAGACTTGCTCCCTGCTTTTGCAGGCCTCTTCCCACCTGGCCTGGGTGGGCCTGGACTGACTCCAGCTACAAAAGCTCTTGGGCCGTAGGGAGCAAGGCACTCAGAGCGGGAGCCCAGACTGGCTGCCTTGCTGTCCGCTCCCTGCCAGGATGGACAGAAAAGGACCACCGGGAACAGAGAGCCCAGAGGACTCGGGAGAGACAGAGTAAGGGCTTTGCGGTGCTCAAGAGAGTGTGGTTCTGCCTCAGCCCATAGCAAGGAGATCGAAGCTTTCAGGAGAGGGCGCTTCCATTCCCAAGGATTTTGACTTCCCAAACTGAGACGCTGAGGATCTGCAGGGCGAGGGAAATGGGAGATGCTCAGTTATTTTCCGGTTTCCTTAGCTGTGCATGATCTTGGTGGCTGCTCCCAGAAAACTTCTTAACTCCCTCCCTAGAGAAGCGAGACTGTTTTCCTCCTTGTCCTTCAGCTGGCAGACAAAGGCTATTTTATCCCTGCAGGCTTTGGGGAACTTTGGGAAAGAGCTTTGAATAGTGCCGTTCCATTTATATTATCTGTGCTTAATTTGTTTTTTTAATATTATTCAAATTCTATTACAGTTTTGCAAGTGAGAGCCCGTGTGGTGTAGTGGTTAAGAGTGGTAGTCTTGTAATCTGGGGAACCGGGTTCGCTTCCCTGCTCCTCCACATGCAGCTGCTGGGTGACCTTGGGCCAGTTACACTTCTCTGAAGTCTCTCAGCCCCACTCACCTCGCAGAGTGTTTGTTGTGGGGGAGGAAGGAGAAGGAGAATGTTAGCCGCTTTGAGACTCCTTCGGGTAGTGATAAAGCGGGATATCAAATCCAAACGCTTCTTCAATTACCTTTGATGTGCTTTTCGCTTTTTGCATTTTTTCTTCCTTACGTAAGCCGCCTTGAGTCCAGGAAAAAGGCAGGTGTAAATAAAAATAACAGTGGCCCTAACAGATCCAGTCCCCTTTGCTCCCCGTACCGCAGCCTTCAAATAATTGGGGTGCAGGATTCAGGGCCTGACTCTGTTTCTCTTCCTCCTCCTCCTCCGCAGGACCTTCGTCAATGGCACGGCTGTGACGGGCCCCACACAGTTGCACCACGGAGACAGGATTCTGTGGGGAAACAATCATTTTTTCAGGTAGGTGGCTGCTCTTTGTCCTCCTTGGCTTTGTCTTGTGTGTTTTTGGAAAGCTCTCAGGGTCCCGGGGTGGAGCTGAACGGCGTTCGCCAAATAGAGCCGCCGGATGTCACCAAACCTGGCGGCTGAGGCCCCTCTGCTCTGGGGGCTGCAGCCTCCGTTGTGAAATGCACATCTCCTGAACGGGTGTCGTCAGAGGTACCGATTTATTTCGTGGCGGGTTCCTGATCCTTGCTTCAGTTTTTCTTTCTCTTCTTTTGTTTTCAAAGTAGGTTACTCGAGTGCTTGAATTACAGAGGCAGGCAGAAGTGGAGGCCCTCTTAGCTTTCGCATTTTAGAAGTGCGTGTATTTCCGGGCAGGGGAAATGATTTCTCTAAAACTGAGAGGGAGTACAAGATCGGGGCTTGTAGATTTCATGAAGCTGGGGTTTTGGCTAGCTTGCATGTTGATGTTAGCAAGCAGTGCATTTGCCTTTCAAGGAATCAGTGCTATTTTTCACAAAAAAGAGGCGCCGTGAACACCTCCCTTGTTCTCTTAGAATGGCAATGGCGCCTATCTGAGAGTCCAGCATATAGTCGATATAATTAAATGCAAAGTGGGCTATACACACCCCCCCGGGGGGAATTACTGGGGTGGGGAGCTCTAAGAGGAAAGTGGGTGGCAGGGGGTCACTGGAGGTGTAAATGGCTTTGATACCACCCAGTGGTATCACTGGGTCAAGTTCATCAGTTTTGTTTAGTAAATTAAGGTAAGGTAAAGGGACCCCTGACCATTAGGTCCAGTCGTGGCCGACTCTGGGGTTGCGGCGCTCATCTCGCTTTACTGGTCGAGGGAGCCGGTGTACAGCTTCCGGGTCATGTGGCCAGCATGACTAAGCCACTTCTGGCGAACCAGAGCAGCGAACGGAAACGCCGTTTACCTTCCCTCCAGAGTGGTACCTATTTATCTACTTGCACTTTGACGTGCTTTCGAACTGCTAGGTTGGCAGGAGCAGGGACCGAGTAACGGGAGCCTACCCCGTCGCAGGGATTCGAACCGCCAACCTTCTGATCGACAAGTCCTAGGCTCTGTGGTTTAACCCACAGCGCCACCCGCGTCCCGTTCAGTAAATTAAATAGTTTTAATTGGGACTTTGAATGAACATGCAATTAACTGTTACCGTTCTGAATTTTCTGGTGCCGTTCCTTAGTGGGTCACACAGACAGCGGTTCTGAGTGATGCTTTTTATAGAGGAGGGGGCATGGGGGGTGAGTTTATGGAACCCGGGGGGCAGTGACCCGAAAAGGTTTGGGAACCCCTGATTTAATGGGTCCCAGCAGTCAAGAGAAAGGAAGATCCCCTCTTAATAGCTGCTCCTTCCCATCTCTACACCCTCCTAAGGACACTTTTTGGTTTATTTTTATTATTGCTTTTTGTAGCCACCCCTGACCAAGTGGTCCTGGGGTGGATTGCAAAAACAACGATGAGTAAACACACACAATTAAAGTACAGTCATAACTCAGGTTACAGACGCTTCAGGTTGCGTTTTTTCGGGTTACGGACCGCCGAAACCTGGAAGTACCGGAACGGGTAACTTCCAGGTTTCGGCGCATGCGCAGAAGCGCCAAATCACAACCCACACGCTGCTATGGGTTGCGAATGCTGAGGCTTGTGAACGTGCATCCCACACGGATCACGTTCGCAGCCCGAGCATCCACTGTAATAAAAGCAAAGCCGTTCCATATCAGAATAACAAGACTGCATTGCACACCAGTGTACCTTGAGTTCTTCAGCGCTGCGGTAGAGGTAGCTGACATTTAAATTAGGCTGAAAGAAGGCTCTACAGTGGTACCTCGGGTTACAGAAATAGTGCTTCAGGTTAAGAACTTTGTTTCAGGATGAGAACAGAAATCGTGCTCCGCCGGCGCAACGGCAGCAGGAGGCCTCCTTAGCTAAAGTGTTGCTTCAGGTTAAGAACAGTTTCAGGTTAAGAATGGACCTCCGGAGCGAATTAAGTACTTAACCCGAGGTACCACTGTATACCTTTGCACTGCTATGTCACTGCGTGTCCTGGTTTAATTTTAAAGCGTTGCAAAAAATCTTTAAAAACCAGGAGCCTGGCAAGTCTACACCTTGGCCTGTAGGATTCCCTTGACCTCTGGCGTTGCAGATGAATCCCTGTGATTTTTTATAACTCCCTTAGGTGCCTTTTAATTCCGGATAAAAGCTGCACATCCATCTGGATGGGGAACGGAGGGCGTGCCTGTGGTTTTCTGTTTGAAGGATATAATCCTTAGAGCTGTTTGCTTAGTTAGAGCTCACCAAAGGAATTTTGGGTTTAGAAAACACGCCCTCTTGCCAGGTAACAACGCAGCGCATTCCTCCCAGATGTTCGCCTGCACATGCCTTACTGCAGCCTTCCCCAACCTTGGGCCCTCCAGAGGTTTGGGATTAACACCTCTGAGGCTGAGTGCGACTGATGGGAGTTGTACTGTATTTTTCGCCCCATAAGATACACCTGACCATAAGACGCACCTAGTTTTTAGAGGGGGAATGCGAGGAAAAATATATTCTTTAAAGGGAGCGCTGAGCAGAGCCTGTATGCATCCCAGGCTCTGCTCAGCGCTCCCTTTCACAAGCCGCTTGGAGCCTGTGTGCGGCGCTTGCAGGCTTCTCCCTCCTCACACACTCCACACGGCTCTTTAAAGGGAGCTCTGAGCAGAGCCTCCCGCCCGCATTCGCTCCATAAGATGCACACACATTTCCCCTTACATTTTAGGAGGGGAAAGGTGCGTCTTATAGAGCGAAAAATATGGTGGTTCAAATCGCCTATACTGCAGTGGTGTCCAAACTTTTTTCAAAGAGGGCCAGATTTGATGAAGTGAAGGGCTGTGAGGGCCGACCAAAGTTGTTAACCTTTTTTTTTTAGGATTGAGGTTTTTTTTAGGATTTTACCCCAGGAAATAAACTGCCACAGGGGCTGGATTAAACCAACCGGCGGGCCGGATTAGGCCCCTGGAACGGACTTTGGACATGCCTAGAGGGCTCCACCTTAGAGTAAGCAGCCTTACTGAAATGATCAAGGGTTGCCTAAGAGTGAATTGTACCCTGTGGGTTGAAACAAAACAAACAATAAAAGGTGTTGATCTCCCACTCTGTAACTTTTACTAGAACCAAACTCTGCTGATTGCAGTGGCAGGCACCTCCCTGCATGTCACAGGAACATTTTTAATATAATAAATAATAATTAAATAATAAATTTTATCTTATACCCGCCCTCCCCAGCCAAGACTGGGCTCAGAGCGGCTACCCAAATATGAAAACAATTGATTGAAATGTAATGAAAAAAATTAAATACAACATTAAACATTAGATCAGCCTATTTCAGTGGAAACTCAATCAACTTTTGGGGATAAAAACGTCATCTTCACCAAGGCTGACTATCCGACTGTCTAGTGGCAGAAAAGCCAGGAATCCCAATAGAGTTCAAACGAGGAGAAAGAAAGAAGAGGGAAGGATCAGTTGATTAGCAAGCAGGCAGAACAACTCCGTCTTACAGGCCCTGTGGAAAGAAATCAGATCCTGCAGGGCCCTGGTCTCATGAGGCAGAGCGTTCCACCAGGCCGGGGCCAGTGTTGAAAAGACCCTGGCTCTGGTTGAGGCTAATATGACTTCCTTAGGGCCCGGGACCTCTAGGGTGTTGCTATTTATGGACTTTAAGGTCCTCCGTGGGGCATATCGGGAGATATATTATAACCCTGTAATTTGATCAAAGGCCATAGAATTGTAGCGATGGAATGTACCATTTAGTCCAAACCCCCTGAAGTGCAGGGATCTTTTGCATCGACCAGAGTTTTAATGGGACCCCTCCCTCCTTTCCAGGCTGAATTTGCCGAAAAAGAAAAAGAAGTCGGAAGCCGAGGACGACGACAAAGACAATTCAATGAAAGGAAGCAACAGTTCAGAGCAGCTGGATTTGGACGGGGACAGCTCCAGTGAGGTTTCCAGCGAGATTAACTTCAGCTACGAATATGCGCAGATGGAGGTCACCATGAAAGCTCTGGGTGGCAACGGTAAGGAGCATAATAGTACTAATACTAATAATAATTTATTATTTATACCCCACCCATCTGGCCGAGTTTCCCCAGCCACTCTGGGCGGCTTCCAATTGCGTGTTAAAAACAATACAGCATTAAATATTACAAACTGCCTTCAGATGTCTTTTAAAGATAAGATAGCTTCCTTCACATCTAATGGGAGGCGTTCCACAGGGCAGGCGCCACCACTGAGAAGGCCCTCTGCCTGGTTCCCTGTAACTTTGCTTCTCGCAGGGAGGTAACCGCCAGAAGGCCCTCGGCGCTGGATCTCAGTGTCCGGGCTGAACGATGGGGGTGGAGACGCTCCTTCAGGTATACTGGGCCGAGGCCGTTTAGGGCTTTCAAGGTCAGCACCAACATTTTGAATTGTGCTCAGAAACATGGGTGCTCTTGCTCTGAATTCATAGGTGCACTGAGCAAGCAATACATAGCAATACATAGCAGCGTTGCCCGGGATTGCTCTCCAAAGCAATGCACCTGGGGCGAGGCTTGTAAGGAATGGGGCCTCTCTGCGGTTCTCTGTCTTCTTTGGCAATCCCTTGTAGCCGAGTAAGATTGTCTTCCAAGGACACAGTTTTTACAATGAGTTCGTAAGTGACTGTGGAGGCCAATTCTGGATCCACACATCCTTCCACTGTGGGGACATAGGTTTCTGGGCGGGAGTTGATCACGGTGCGGATTTGCCAAGCGTGCCTTCCTCTTAGTGCGTTTCTCCCTTGCGTCCTGAGTTTGAGTGTCTTCAAAGCCCATGACACCTTTGGTAAAGACTGTTCTCCAACTGGAGCACTCGCAGGCCAGTGTTTCCCAGTTGTTGGTGTTTATACTACATTTTTAAAGATTTGCCTTGAGAGAGTCTTTAAGCCTCTTTTGTTGACCACCAACATTGCGCTTTCCAGTTTTAAGTTTGGAATAGAGTAGTTGCTTTGGAAGACGACAATCAGGCATCCGAACAACATGACCAGTCCAACGAAGTTGATGTTGAAGAATCATTGCTTCGACACCGGTGATCTTTGCTCCTTCCAGTACGCTAAGAAAAAAGCACACCAAGAATTCTGGCCAATATAAGTTTCAATAGTGGGAGTGGTCCCTACTCACAAATCAATAGTCAATTGTAACGAAAACTAATCCTTTCAAAAGTATATATTCTGACAAGGATTACAAACTCAATTAGAGATTACAAACTCAAATAGAGATTACAAACTCAAACTCATGAGGATATGTATAACACAATAATTCGTTGCAGGATTAGACATACAGTAAGAGTTTCTGGGGACGCAGGTGGCGCTGTGGGTTAAACCACAGAGCCTAGGACTTGCCGATCAGAAGGTCAGCGGTTCGAATCCCCACGACAGGGTGAGCTCCCGTTGCTCAGTCCCTGCTCCTGCCAACCTAGCAGTTCGAAAACACGTCAAAGTGCAAGTAGATAAATAGGTACCACTCTGGTGGGAAGGTAAACGGCGTTTCCGTGCGCTGCTCTGGTTCGCCAGAAGCGGCTAAGTCATGCTGGCCACATGACCCGGAAGCTGTACGCCGGCTCCCTCGGCCAGTAAAGCGAGATGAGCGCCGCAACCCCAGTGTGATGGCCTGGGAATCCGATTCAGAGGCTGAACCGGAGGAATCCCAGCCTGCACAGGAGTCCCCGCCTCCAGGGCTGGCTGAGCTGGGGCAGGGCCTTGATTCTGAAGCGCCTGCACCTGTGCCGGATCCTCAGGAGCAGACACCAGCTGAATCCACTCTGGCTCCGGAGGTGATTGAGGACGCATTGCCTACAGGTGCGACTCTCCCAGCCCTGTCAGGGGAAAGTGAGTCTCCCCCTGGGTCCAGTAACCCACCGGCCTCTCCTGAGCTGCAGAGGCTCAGGGCAGAGAGGCGGAGGGAACTGGTTTCTCCCAGGAGGAGTGCTCGCCTTAAGGCCAGGAGAGGCGGGTCACCTGGGGGCCGGGGCCGCCCCTGGCCTCAGAGAAGATAAAGGCCAGTCAGCCCGGTCCCAGGTTGCGGGAGCAACATCCTTGAAGAGCTGTTTTGGCCAGCACCCAGTCCTGTTCCCCCAGAGTTCCTGTCCTTGCCCGGCTCCTCGCTGTGGACCCCGCTTCGCCCGTGGAGGACTGTCTGCCGACCCTCGACTCAGGTCCTGGACCTCGCCCCACGGTAACCTCCCCCCTGGACCAGCACACCCAGAGTCGGCCACGACTGGACCTAATGGTCAGGGGTCCCTTTACCTTTACCTTTTAAGAGTTTCTGAATGGAGATAAGTTCATGTAAGAGTTGACATGAAGGTGTTAGTTTCAATCATTGAACAGAAGTCAGAAGTCAATTATGAATCCAGTAGGCTGGCATTAGTTTGCCTGTCTTCCCAAGCGATGGGCACAATTTTTCAGAGACACTGTTGATGGAATGGTCCTCTGTAGATACCATGGAGCTCTGCGGACCCTGTGGCCCGCGTCTGACTGAAACAAACTCTTCCACTTTCCTAGACCCCATGCAGTCGATTTTGCAAAGCCTGGAGCAGCAGCATGAGGAGGAGAAGCGGACCGCGCTAGAGCGGCAGAGGCTGATGTACGAGCATGAGCTGGAGCAGCTCCGGAGGCGCCTTTCCCCCGAGAAACAGCACTTCCGCACCATGGACAGGTTCTCCTGGCACTCTCCCAACGCTCAACAGCGACTTCGGCAGTGGGCGGAAGAGAGGTGAGTGGAGGGAATACAGCGGCTCAGTGGGAGGAGCACCTGCGTAGAATTTGCAGCCTTTTTTAAAAAAAAAATTTTTGAAGATCTTTATTGAAACTTAACATATATACATAATAACCAAAATTCCCAACTGGGGCGCTCACAGGCCAGTGTTTCCCAGTTGCTCTCAGCATGAGTGGGACTTATCCCTAGGTAAGTGAGTTTAGGGCTGCAACCTTAGCCTTTTGTATTTTATAGGTGCATTGCGACCCCATTCAGGCACTATGACAAATCCATGGTTTATTCATCAGGGACACGTTTTGGGTCTGTGCGCTCCATCCTCCCACTTCCTGGTTCTTACAAGCCATGGTTTACTGGAGGGGTGTGTGGCTCTCGGACGCTATTGGGCTTCTAAGAACCCCAGCCATTATGACCAGTGGTTGGTGATTATGTAATTGTAGTTCAACAACCACTTTAACAGCCGCAGTTTCACCACCCATGTTTACCATAGTGTCCCAACAGGGTAAACTATGGTTAGTGATAACCATGGTTCGTCTCCAAATCATGAACTAAAAACCATAGTTCAGAGTGGCAAACTGCTTACCGTGAGCTCTTAAACAAGATGGTCTCTCTAAATTTAGGAATGATAATGACAATGGAAGATGCAAAACCACTCCTACCCCGTTCAGATACCTGCATAGTGGTCCCATAAACAGTTGAGCTTCTGATTACCGTATTTTTCGCTCCATAACACTCACTTTTTTCCTCCTAGAAAGTAAGGGGAAATGTCTGTGCATGTTATGGAGGGAATGCCTACGGGTGGCGGGGGGATCTGCTGCAGTCGTGAGCAGAGGATCCATGGTTCCCCTTCCTTCCCTCCTCCGTGGCTCACTTTGAAACAGCAAAGCGGAGAGGAGCTCGCTAAATAGCAGCAAAGTTTTTCAGCTCGCTAAGCTGGGGAAGAGGGAGAGAAGCAGAGCCTGCTTGCTTTAAAGGAGCAAAGTGGGAGAGGAGAGGAGCCTTCTCCCCTTATACCCCTCTTCTGCATTATTAGCAGCACCTACCCCACGTGTGTTCCTTCTCCCCTTAAACCCCTCGCCTGCATTATTAGCAGCATCCTTCTCCACACACCCCATGCGTGTTCCTTGTCCCTTGAGTGCTTTTCCTTCCCTCCCCACTTAAAACATGGTTACAAAGCACAGATCCACATGGATCCTCAGGATTTTTGCACTGGGTCACCCCAAATTCACCATCAGATCACATAGCATGTCCATGGCTACAGTTTGCACCCAAAAAATCACGCACCCACTGTTGCCTGGGGCCGCAGTGGTGCAAAAATGTGGTTACAAAGCACGGATCCACATGGATCCTCATTGGGCTACCCCAAACTCACCGTTAAATCACATATCTGTGGCCACAGCATGAACCACAAAAATCATACATCCACTGTTTCGTTTAGAATATTTTTTTCTTGTTTTCCTCCTCTAAAAACTACGTGCGTGTTATGGTCAGGTGCGTCTTATGGAACGAAAAATACGGTAGATGTTTCAATTTGGCTGCATGCCGTAGTGTAGCCGTATTACAACGCCAGGTACAAATTCCAAAACTGATCTTTGGGATTTGCATCCTTAGCAGCCGTTGAAACGCTCTTTTCCAAATCGCACGGTTTCCTCTTTCCCCAAAGGGAAGAGATGCTGACCCACAGCCTGAGGAAGTTGAGGGAGCAGATAATGAAGGCCAACTTGTACGTGAGAGAAGCCAGTTTCATCGCCGAAGAGATGGACAAACGGACGGAATACAAGGTCACCCTGCAGATCCCAGCCTCCAGCCTTAACGCAAACAGAAAGGTGAGGAACCTGCCAGCCACATTCATCGTCTTTCGAGAATGGATTCCATCGGCCCACTGGAATTTCAATGACTATTATGTATTGATTTAGAGCATTTGTATTTTTAGGCCCAAAATGGCAGCTTTAGTTAAAAAAAAACCCCCAAAACATACACCTTATTTATTTGCACGATCAGTTAGGTATGTCATGTGCTTTTACAACAGAATACAGTGGTACCTTGGTTTTTGAAACAGAATACAGTGGTACCTGGGTTTTTGAAACAGAATACAGTGGTACCTTACGCTGAGTCTCCCCCCCCCCCAATTTTCTCCATTGCATTTGCAGACAGCCCTTTGCGCCTCAGTTTTCAAACGTTTCGGAAGTCGAACAGTCTTCCGGAACGTATTACGCCCAAAAACCGAGGTACCACTGTTTGGGGTACAGTATAACACTGTACAAGGACGCGGGTGGTGCTGTGGGTTAAACCACAGAGCCTAGGACTTGCCGATCAGAAGGTTGGTGGTTCGAATCCCCGCGACGGGGTGAGCTCCCATTGCTCGGTCCCTGCTCCTGCCAACCTAGCAGTTTGAAAGCACGCCAAAGTGCAAGTAGATAAATAGGTACCACTCCAGCGGGAAGGTAAACGGTGTTTCTGTGCGCTGCTCTGGTTCACCAGAAGCGGCTTAGTCATGCTGGCCACATGACCTGGAAGCTGTATGCCGGCTCCCTCGGCCAATAAAGCGAGATGAGCGCCGCAACCTCAGAGTCGGTCATGACTGGACCTATGGGTCAGGGGTCCCTTTTATCTTTACTATTATTATTTTTAGAACTTCTGTAGCCTTCTTTTCAACCTCCTCAAAGTCAAGGTTGGATTCGGTTCTGATTTTAATCGTGAGTGGCCTACAGATCGCTACAGACAAGAAGGGACCTCCAGCCGGGCTTAGAATCTGAAACGACACGGCACAGAAGGAAAGTGGTCAGGGGTCCCTTGACCTTTACCTATAAAACTGTACAGTGGTACCTTAGTTTACAATCATAATCCGTTCTGGAGGTCCGTTTGTAAACCAAAACAGGTTGTAATCCAAGGTGCGCTTCCGCCAATGAGGCCTCCAAAATTTTTTTTGTTCGTAATCCAAAATAAAATGGGTTGTAATCCAAAAAATGATTGCAAACCAGGACACGCAGTTCTGGGTTTGACTTGTTTGTAACCCAAAACGTATGCAAACCAAGACGTATGTAAACCAAGGTATCGCTGTATAGGGGTTTTCTTGAAAAATAAAGAGGTTAAGCGATCAAAGGCTTTCAACCTAACAAGCTGCCGTTTGCCTTCGGTTCTGCCTACTGGTTCACAATATGTATTCTCTCCGTAAACCTCTTTGGGGTTGTCTCCTTAACAATTTATGAACTAGATAAAGGATCAAATATCTTCTCCATCATGTGCAATACTTTTATTGCCTGCAACATGAAAAGATTCCAGTTCTAGCTGCTCTTTGGGTGCATTATGAGTGAGTTTGCTTTGTGTTTTAAAGGAAATTCCATTCGCATTCCCAAGTTGATTTTTACCTTGATGTTTATTTCTGTTCCCCGCCCCAATCTCCTCCTTCGTCCTTTTTTCCCCCACAGCGAGGTGCCGTCCTTAGTGAGCCGGCCATCCAAGTTCGGAGGAAAGGGAAAGGCAAGCAGATCTGGTCCTTGGAGAAACTGGAGAATCGGCTGGTAGACATGAGGGACCTCTATCAAGAATGGAAGGACTGCGAGGAAGACAACCTGGTATGGAGCCCCCGCTTCTCCTGAGTAGCAGAACGGCTCTCTAGGTCCCTCGGACTACAGTTCCCACCAGTGGCCAGATATGATGGGAGCTGGAGTTCCACAACATTGGTTCCTCATCCCCGGGGTGTGGCGTCGCAGCGTGAGAGAATGTTAGGAAGGCTCCCAGTTCAAATCTCGCTCCTGCCGTGGGTGCACTAGGTCAGCAATTCCTGACATTCCCCGGATGTTGTTGGACTACAATTCCCACCATCCATTGGGTGACGCTGGCTGGGGCTGATGGGAGTTGTAGTCTCAGCAACACCCGGGGGGGGGACTCAGGTGTTTGGAAAGGCTGTATGGGGTGTGGCCTTGGGCCAGTCTTCCCCAACCATGGATATGTTGTTGTTGTTGTTGTTTAGTCGTTTAGTCGTTTCCGACTCTTCATGACCCCATGGACCAGATATAGTTTTAATAAAGCTTTTCAACATAACAGTAAAAAAACAGAAACAAGACAACGAATAAGAAAGAAAATGAAGAAGAAATCAAACAAGCTAATATATAAAAATGATAGAATAAAGGGAAAGAAAGAGATGAGTAAAAAGTGACTTCTGTCAGTTGTACCTACAAGAGTTCCTCATAATACAGTGGTACCTCAGGTTACATACACTTCAGGTTACAGACTCTGCCAACCCAGAAATAGTACCTTGGGATAATAACTTTGCTTCAGGATGAGAACAGAAATTGTGCGGTGGCAGCGGGAGGCCCCATTTGCTAAAGTGGTGCTTCAGGTTAAGTACAGTTTCAGGTTAAGAATGGACCTCCGAAACAAATTAAGTTCTTAACCAGAGGTACCACTGTAGTCCAGTGTTCAATCCAGAGTAATATCTAGTTATTCTTCCCGCTTCTAGCTGATGCTCAATCCAGGCATTCATTTTCCTTTCCATCCCAGAAGTCCAAAAGAGGTTCTTTGATTATTATTATTGTATACAAAGATCAGCCGTAATCTTTCTCCAGATATTTTGGACCGCAAGGCCCCTGCCAGCATGGTCAGAGAAGCTTTTTCTTGAAATAGTACATCCATACTTCTTTAATTTACAATGTTGTGTAGCTACTCTGGGTTCCTCAGGGAGGAAGGGCGAAATAGAAAGCGAGATCCGCCGTCCTCAATCTTGTGAGATAGTGCCATGGCAGCTGTCTGTGGATCTGGTCACCATAGAGCTTTGCCACTTGTCTCCCTTTCACGAATCCAGGTCATGAGGTCGTATTTCCGGCGAGCAGATCCTTTCTACGACGAGCAGGAGAACCACAGCCTCATCGGCGTGGCAAACGTCTTCCTCGAGTCCCTCTTCTACGATGTGAAGCTGCAGTACGCTGTGCCCATCATCAATCAGAAAGGAGAGGTGAGTTTGAGTTTGGATTTGATATCCCGCCTTTCACTCCCTTTAAGGAGTCTCAAAGCGGCTCACATTCTCCTTTCCCTTCCTGCCCCACAACAAACACTCTGTGGGGTGAGTGGGGCTGAGAGACTTTAGAGAAGTGTGACTGGCCCAAGGTCACCCAGCAGCTGCATGTGGAGGAGCGGAGACGCGAACCTGGTTCCCCAGATTACGAGACTACTGCTCTTAACCACTACACCACACTGGCTCAGTTTCTCCTGGGTGACCGAAGCCAGGGGTCAGCAATCTTTTTCAGCCATGGGCCTGTCCTCCGTCCCTCAGACCTTGTGAGGACCGGGCTATATTTTGAAAAAAAGAAAAAAGAACGAATTCCTATGCCCCACAAATAACCCAGAGATGCGTTTTAAATAAAAGGACACATTCTACTCATGTAAAAACATGTTGATTCCTGGATCATCCGTGAGCTGGATTTAGAAGACAATTGGGCCGGATCCGGCCCCCGGGCCTTAGTTTGCCTACCCACGCTCTAGGACAGGGGTCAGCAATTTTTTTCATCCATGGGCCAGTCCTCTGTCCCTCAGACCTTGTGGGGGGACGGACTATATTTTGCAAAAAAAAAGAGAAGAAGAACGAATTCCTATGCCCCACAAATAACCCAGAGATGCGTTTTAAATAAAAGGACACATTCTACTCATGTAAAAACAAGCTGATTCCCGGACCGGCCACGCTCTCTCTGTATTTACTGGTGGCGCCTCTTGGCATTCTGGGACTTTGCATAGAAATAGTGTACGGTTTGGGTTGGGTTGCAGTTTTATTTTAGGTTCCTAAAAATCTTCCCCTCCTGGGTGTCAAAGTGGGAGTCAGGGGCGGCTCCCTGGCCGGTCGGGCTCCCGCCACTCCTCGGCATCCATCCGGCCGGTCCATGACCATGCCGTTTTTATTCCCCCCCCTTACAGGTGGCCGGACGCCTCCACGTCGAAGTTGTGCGGGTGAGCGGGGAGATTGGGGAGCGCATCGCAGGAGGCGAGGACGGCATGGAAGGATTTGGCGAGAACGACCTGCAGGAGCACAAGTTGGCGTGCATGGTGAGTTTGCGGAGACAGTGCTCCTCGCTTCCCTTTGCGAAGCACCTAGGCACAGAAAATGGGCAATTAGCTGTCTGATAGCTATAGAGGCAACATAAGTGCCCCATATGCAGGGCTGGATTTAGGCTTGATGGGGCCCTAAGCTACTGAAGGTAATGGGGCTTTTATATGTCTAGCTGTCCTTTGTCAGCAACAAATTGGCGCTGTTTTTTGTGTTGAATATACAGTCACACCTCTTGTTATGTTTGCTTCAGGTTAAATCTTTTCAGGTTGCGTCCCGCGGAGACCCGGAAGTACCGGAAAGGGTTACTTCGGGGTTTCGCCGCTCGCTCATGCGCAGATGCTCAAAATGACATCATGCGCATGCGCAGAAGCAGCAAATCGCAACCCGCGCATGTGCAGACACACAGGCACAGGTTACGTTCTGCTCATGTTGCGAATGGGGCTCTGGAACGGATCCCGTTCGCAACCAGAGGTACCACTGTGTGCTATATGGTCATTTACGGACCTAGTAGGTATCTAAAGCCATTTGCACATACAGTGGTGCCTCGCAAGACGAAATTAATCCATTCCGCGAGTCTCTTCGTCTTGCGGTTTTTTCGTCTTGCGAAGCACGGCTATTAGCGGCTTAACGGCTATTAGCGGCTATTAGCGGCTTAGCGACTATTAACGGCTATTAGCGGCTTAGCGGCTATTAACGGCTTAGCAGCTTTAAGAAAAAGGAAACAAACTCGCAAGAACTCGCAAGACGTTTCGTCTTGCGAAGCAAGCCCATAGGGAAATTCGTCTTGCGGAACGATTCAAAAAACGGAAAACCCTTTCGTCTAGCGAGTTTTTCGTCTTGCGAGGCATTCGTCTTGCGGGGCACCACTGTATGTATTTTATCAGAGTAATTGTTGAACTGAAATACAATTAAGAAGAAGTACGTTAATAGTGAAATACAATTAAGAAGAAGTATATTAATAGAGCCAGAGGCAAAGAAGCTTGGAGAGATAAAATCGGATATGGAAATATGGAAATATCGTGAGAGGCAAGACTGAGACTTGGAGTTGCTTTGACATTCAGACTGTGGGAAGTCGCAAAATCAGAATTAAATTCGGAAGACAATTGGATTTTTTTTATTTTAGTTTTTAATTTTTAATTTTTGATTATGATTTGATATGCTAATGGGATGTTTTTTAATGGAAAATTGATAAACGCTCTAACAAAAAAAAGGAGTATATTAATAGTGAAATAATTAAGCTCTAACTTAAAATGATTTTTTATTCATAACAAACTTAATAATGCAAGTACCTTGGCATTTGGCAATAAGAAAAGTTCCTTTAGAAAATTTACAAAGACTCATAATCTAGTCTCTAGGAACTTGCTATAACATGAAAAAATAGTAGGTGTAAATATATGATGCAAGCTACTAATATTTATAAATAGCAGAATGTGGGCACCCTGTATATAGAAATGAGCAAACCAGGGATATTTTAGGGAGCAGACTAGCAGGCGGGGTCCATGACTTACATCACAGGAGCCTACACAACACAAAACACTGTTGCTGTATGTAGGTTTTATTTGATTTGTTTTCTATCTTATATTTTGGAAGTGTGTATCCAGTGTTTTTTTCCTTTAAATTTCTTTGGGGCCCCCCAAGAGAGTGGGGCCCTAAGCTATAGCTTGTTTAGCTCATACGTAAATCTGGTACTCCCCATATGTGCCCACTCGACTGCTTCAATAGGTCAGGTGCCACATGATGCCCATTCCATGTTTGTCAGAACTCGTATTTAAGTATTTAAGTATACTTTTCTGAAGAAACCAGAGGCCTTTCTCCTGGGCATAGTCGGCCAATTGGTGCCAAAGAAGGATAGAACCTTTTTCATGTATGCTACAGCAGCAGCAAGAATACTTATTGCAAAGCATTGGAAGACGCAAGACCTACCCACCTTGGAAGAATGGCAGATGCAAGTAATAGACTATATGGAACTGGCAGAAATGACCGGCAGAATCCGAGATCAAGGAGAGGAGCAGATGGAAGAGGACTGGAAGAAGTTTAAAGTCTATCTACAAAAATACTGTAAAATTTATGAATGTTGAGGGCTCTGAAAACGAAATGAAGGGGTTTCTAGCGATTAAGATAAATAGACTATAAAGGGAGGGATAAAGGTTTAAAATGAATAATCAATGATCTTGCTGAACTAATTTTTAAAGTAGAATACAAGAAGGGAAGGCGGGTGGAAGTAAAGAGAATAAGGTTTTGAAAGTTATCAATATGAAAGAGTGTTCTTTTTTATGCTAAATTTTTTCTTTTGTATTTTTCTTTTTTCTGTTTTTCTGTTTGGATTTCGATTTTGTTGATTTTTGTTGGTTGTTAACTTTTTGGAAAACCCTAATAAAATATTACTATAAAAAAAAAAGAACTCGATCTTTTAATGTGGCAGCAACCCTTTAGAAGAATAATACAGTGGTACCTCAGGTTAAGTACTTAATTCGCTCCGGAGGTCCGTTCTTAACCTGAAACTGTTCTTAACCTGAGGTACCACTTTAGTGAATGGGGCCTCCTGCTGCCGCTGCGCCGCAGGAGCACGATTTCTGTTCTCATCCTGAAGCAAAGTTCTTAACCCAAGGTAATATTTCTGGGTTAGCGGAGTCTGTAACCTGAAGCGTATGTAACCTGAAGCGTATGTAACCTGAGGTACCACTGTAATAATAATAATAATAATAATAATAATAATAATAATAATAATAATAAAAATAATTTATTTATACCCCGCCCATCTGGCTGGGTTTCACCAGCCACTCTGTGTGGCTCCCTACAGAATATTAAAAACACAATAGAACATCAAACATTAGAAACTTCCCTAAACATGGCTGCCTTCAGATGTATTCTAAAAATCGGATAGTTGTTTATTTCCTTGACATCTCCCTGACTATTGATCCCAGGCAGGTACCTTCGCTGTATACTTGTTTAGAAAAGCCTGCCCGTTTTTAGTCCCTTGTTATTTTAGGCTCGTCTGAATGTTTCTAGCTTGCCATTTTAACTTTTCCAATGCCTTAAACTGCTTCTTGATTTTCCTTGGTGGCCATTTTATTGCTTGGTCCTTTTTGAAAACCACTTTGAGCGCTTTATCCATTTTATGAAACAAAAATAAAATAAAATAAATGCGCATGCTGATGTTGCATTAGAAGAGCACTGTCCTTTTTTCACGCCTCCCTTGAGGACTTTTGAAGGCGCCTGACTGTCCTCCGTTGGAAACAGGATACAGGGCTAGATGGGCCATCAGGGAACCCGGCAAAACTGCAAGGGTACCCAGGAAATTAACCAGAAATGTCCCTCTTGACTGTTCCCTGGTCACTGGATGAGATCACAACAGCAGCAGTCTGAGCTGTGAGCAGTTCCAGTGGAATCCCATATGAAACATTATTGTTTGGAGCAATGCGCCAGTTGTATAGAACTCCATTCGGGAAGTAGGTGTGCATCAAGACAGCCAAGGAAAAATCCTTTGGGTCTGCCCCCCCCCCCCAATAAAACAAACCCCAGCTGTGCCTTCCCCCAAACTGGTCATTCAGTGACCCCTAGTGGGGATTTTCATTCTGCGTTATCATCCATATCTATTTCATGGGATAAAAAGGTAAAGGGACCCCTGGAGCGTCTTATGGTCAGGTGCGTCTTATGGAGCGGAAAAGATGTGATTTAAAGCTTGCACAGTTGGAACGTGACTCCGTGTGTATGTTTGCTTCCTCCTAGATCAAAATCCTTCAGGCTACCGGCTTGCCGCAACACCTCTCCAACTTCGTCTTCTGCAAGTATTCCTTCTGGGATCAGATGGAACCCGTGACGGTGGCCCCGGAAGTGGACCCCTCTCTGTCTCCCGTCAGCAAGGAGCCGCGCGGCATGGTGGTCTTTGATCATTGCAATGTAATTTCGCTTCCGCTTTTAGTCCCTGCAGAGAAAGTGAGGGTTTTTACGCCGTGGGAGGCGTACCGTGGTACCTTGGTTCTCAAACTTAATCCATTCCAGAAATCCGTTCCAAAACCAAGACACGCTTTCCCATAGAAAGTAATGCAAAACGGATTAATGCGTTCCAGACTTTTAAAAACAACCTCTAAAACAGCAATTTAACATGAATTTTACTAACGAGACCATTGACCTTAAAATGAAAGCAATAATCAATGTACTGAACTATAAAATAAATAAGACAGTATTGTAGATGATAAAAATTATTTTCCCCCCCTTTCCTGCACTGATGATAGTCATTGTTTGGATGGGGGGGTGGGGCTTTAATCCATTTCCGCAGTCACAAAATCAAAATAACCGGAAAAGCCTCAAAAATGAAAACGCAAAATAAATAGCAAAAACAAAAGTGCCAAACTTAATCCGTTCCAGAAGTCCGTTTGACTTCCAAAATGTTCAAAAACTAAGGCTCAGCTTCTGATTGGTGCAGGTGCCCCAGAAACAGCAGCCGACAGCCGCATTGGACGTTTGGCTTCCAAAAAACGTTTGAAAACCGGAACACTTATTTCTGGGTTTTCGGCATTTGATTACCAAGGCACCACTGTACTTTTTAAGTGAGGAAAAATCTTAATTGCACTAAATTCAAATGAATCTCAAAGCAATGCACAAAACGGTTAGGTCATACTGATTCGAGCTTCCTGTAATTTTTTGCATCTCTGCGCTGTTGATTTCAAGCATTCCTGGGTACATTTCTTGGCTTTGCACAGTCGAAACTTTTCTAGCGTCTTATTTTTGCAGGCTTCATGTAACTGTGGAACAGAGACTAAATTTGAAGCGCTTCAATTGTTCTCTCTTTTCTGTGACCTAGGAATTCTCTGTCAACATCACTGAAGATTTCATGGAGTACCTTTCTGATGGTGCTTTGGCCATCGAAGTTTACGGGCACAAGGCGTGCGACCCCCGCAAAAACCCGGCGCTGTGGGATTTGGGGATTATCCAGGCCAAAACACGAAGCCTCCGAGACAGGTAAGAGAGATGGCGTTTCGCTTGCAAACGAGCTGGAAGTGTGTGGAAATATTATTATTATTATTATTATTATTATTATTATTATTATTATTATTATTTTATTTTTTTATTTATTTTTTATTTATACCCCGCTCATCTGGCTGGTCTTCCCAGCCACTCTGAGCGGCTTCCAAAAATATATTAAAATACTATAATACATCAAACATTAAAAGCTTCCCTAAACAGGGCTGCCTTCAGATGTCTTCTAAAAGTCTGGTAGTTGTTCTCTTTGACATCTGGTGGGAGGGCGTTCCACAGGGCGGGTGCCACTACTGAGAAGGCCCTCTGCCTGGTTCCCTGTAACTTTGCTTCTCGCAGTGAGGGAACTGCCAGAAGTCCCTCGGCGCTGGACCTCAGTGTCCGGGTAGAACGATGGGGGTGGAGACGCTCCTTCAGGTATACTGGACTGAGGCCGTTTAGGGCTTTCAAGGTCAGCACCAACACTTTGAATTGTGCTCGGAAACGTACTGGGAGCCAATGTAGGTCTTTCAAGACCAGTGTTATGTTGTCTCTGCATCTATAGGAGACCATGGTTGCTGACCAAGAAGATGAATTGTTCTTTTTTAAAAAATATATAATTTTTATTAAGCTTTCCATATTTTATTACATTTCAATATCAAAAAATAACAATTCATGACTTAAGACATTGCTTAAATAAAGCATTGACCTCCTTCCATCCCTCTAGCAGACATCCATATCTCATTAGCAATTTCTCCACATTCCTAAATTCACTTGTTTACCTTAAATCAATCTTTTAACAATCACCTACTTATAAGTAAATCAGCTCCTTAATTTCCCAGTACCAAACATTTCAGCTTAAACCTACAAACGTACTCAACTGTTTGCAATTTTCTTTCATATAGAGTATAAATTTGCCCCAGTCCTTTTGGAACAAATCATCACGGCGATTCTGAATCTTCCCCGTCAGCTTCGCCAGCTCCACGTATTCGACCATCTTTACTTGCCAATCTTCCAATGTGGGGAGTTTCTTGTTGCTTCCATTTCCGGGCCAGGAGTATTCTTGCGGCCGTTGTTGCATACATGAACAAATTTACATCTTTCATTTGGATTTCCTCAATTAACCCCAACAGGAAAGCCTCTGGTTTTTTGCTGAAATTATACTTAAATATCTTTTTCAATTCATTATATATGGACAAGTTCCAAGATTAAAGCTTTTTGGGACACCATATGTAAAGAAGATGGATTTTTCTGTAGATCTGGCACTGGCAACTACTCTTTGCCCTTCTTCGGAGCACCCTCTCCTCTTGCCCCAAGATCATCCTCTTCTTCCTTTTCTTCTTTTAAAAATCTTATTATTATGAATTGACATCCACACACAATCTTAAGTACATGTACAAAGAAACGCCTACAAAAATATAACACGATATAACATTTGTGGCAACGTTTGAATGACCCTTGTTTAAATCAAATACTTATTAAATAAGGAAAAACGGTACGATATGTTATAAGGAAGTACTAGAAATTATAATAAGAGTAAGGTAAGAAGTATAAGTACATTCAATGTTGTAAATGTAACCTACATGACAGGAAGTCTGTTTTGATATAATTTAATTTATTGGATTTTTACTTTGTTTTTTGTTTAGCTAGAAAGTATAAGAAAAGAGCATGTGCAAGTACAAGTTTAAATCAATATTTAGCAGTATAATTAGTTAAGGCTGTTATTACTATCATTATCAGTTTTACCTTTTCTTGAACATATCCCATTTTTGCGTAAATGATTGTTTTCTATTTCCCCTTAATCTATTTGTCAATTGAGCCATTTCTGCGTACACTTAATAACTTATTCTGCCATTCCCTTACTGTTGGTTCCTTTCCCCCTTTCCAGTTCAATGCAATTAATAATCGGGCAGCGGCTGTTGCATATAAAAAGATTTCTCTTATATTTTTCGGGATATCAATGCCTAGAATTCCAAGTAGAAATGCTTCTGGCTTCTTTGAAAACGTTAATTTAAAGATCTTTTTCATCTCATCATAAAGAGGAGGGTCTCTCTGATGATGATGAGACCTTCCTCTTCATCGCTCTCTTTTTTATATTTATATAATTTTTGTTTTGATATTGCATAGACATGCACACATCAAATATACAAAGAAAGAAAGAAAGAAAGAAAGAAAGAAAGAAAGAAAGAAAGAAAATACAGTGGTACCTCAGATTAAGGACTTAATTCGTTCTGGAGGTCTGTTCTTAACCTGAAACTGTTCTTAACCTGAAGCACCACTTTAGCTAATGGGGCCTCCCGCTGCTGCAGCGCTGCTGGAGCACGATTTCTGTTCTCATCCTGAAGCAAAGTTCTTAACCCGAGGTACTATTTCTGGGTTAGCGGAGTCTGTAACCTGAAGCGTATGTAATCTGAAGCGTATGTAACCTGAGGTACCACTGTATACAAACAAAGAAAAAAGAAAAAAAACATCAAAAAGAAACATCTTCTTCTTCATCTCATGCACCGCCACAGCCTTGATAAAAAGGTTGTGATCCTGTTACAAACTGCAGAAATGCATGCTTGATATTACTCCTCCAGATCAGAAGTTGGGTATAAGAAGCTTCAGCTCTGCTGGATCAGGCGAAAGGCCCATTATATTGTGATAGGAATTCTGCGGTCTTGGATATATGGTTGGAAGTGAGAGCTGGACCATCAAGAAGGCTGATCGCCGAAGAATGGATGCTTTTGAATTCTGGTGCTGGAGGAGACTCTTGAGAGTCCCATGGACTGCAAGAAGATCAAACCTCTCCATTCTGAAGGAAATCAGCCCTGAGTGCTCACTGGAAGGACAGATCCTGAAGCTGAGGCTCCAGTACTTTGGCCACCTCATGAGAAGAGAAGACTCCCTGGAGAAGACACTGATGCTGGGAAAGATGGAGGGCACAAGGAGAAGGGGGCGACAGAGGACGAGATGGTTGGATAGTGTTTTCGAGGTTACCAGCATGAGTTTGACCAAACTGCGGGAAGTAGTGGAGGACAGAGGTGCCTGGCGTGCTCTGGTCCATGGGGTCACGAAGAGTCGGACACGACTAAACGACTAAACAACAACAACAACAACAGATATATGGTAATGTTCATAAGTGTACCAACCAAGCACATACATAGATCAGCACAGGAAGACCGACCTGGAGCCATTTTGATTCCCAAACTGAGCCAATGTTTTCTCTGCAAGGTCAAAGTGGGAAACCCCCCCATTGTCTCTTTCCTCACAAATCCTGTCTTAAGGGCACATTTAAGATATGAATAGGGTGTGCGCCTGTGACCTGGCCCAGGAACTAAGTATTTATCATTACAAAAGACTGGCCGGGCTCCCCAGGCAATCCAATCAAGTAACCTGCCAGACCAGGAGATAAACAATGACAAGAGAAATACAACATTCAAACTTCTGTTTTAAGACCGCCTTTTCTGTGATGTAGGTATGATGTTTCTGGGGGTGGTCTTGAGCTACAGGGTGGCAATTTCAGAAGTCTTTATAAGGCCTTGCACGCCATTTTTCTGGGTCCCCCCTCCTTTCCTGCATGTGAGGGGAGCACCCTGTTGCAACAGATCAATAAAGATCAAGCATACTAGCTGCTTTGCTTCTCAGTGTTCTCTGGTTGGCCTCTCTCCTACCAATAGGGAACCTACGTAAGGACTCTATATGGGCTCTTGGATACCCCATAAGGGAAAAAGGGCAATTTTTGTTTACGACAAAGTTCAGCATCCTGACCTCACAGTGGCCAACCAGATGCCTGTGGCAAACCCATGAGCAGGATTTGAACCCAAGAACACTCCCTCTACCCTATAGTTTCCAGCAGCTGGTGTTCAGAAGCATTACTGCTTCCAGTTGTGGAGGCAAAGCATAGCTGTCATGGCTGAAAGTAGTCTGCAGTAGTCTCAAATTTAATTTTTTTAATCCATCTCTGCTCTATAGCTGGTGCACTTTTAAACATGACTTGTTTCCGTAGGCAAAATGTAATGCTGTGTTTGAGCAGAGCCACAGGTGAAGTTTATTATTATTATTATTATTATTATTATTATTATTATTAATTTATTTAACATAATTATTACAAAATATAAGCAAAATATTACAAATACATACATATATATTTCAGATAAGCACACACATATATAAAAAAGAACAAAAGAGGAAAAAGGATGGAAAGAAAAAATAAGGAGAAAAAAAAGAAGAAAAGTTGGAAGAATTTCTTCCAAATGTATCCTACAAATATCTCAATAATAAAATTTCATTGGTTGACTTCCGTCGCTTACACTGCACTTCCTATATGCATTTTAAGCAAGATTGTATCTGCTATTCCGTATTTTCCCCATACAATCTCACACAAATATTCTAATAATAAGTTTTCTAAATCTTTCATAAATCTATTCTAAACACAACCAATACCTTACATTTAAACTTTGTCTACATAAATAACCATTTAAACATTTCCATTGTTTCTGGATTATATTTTTTGGTTTTTGTCTTATCAAATCAGTCAATTCCAAGTATTCACATAATTTTTTGGTTTTTGTCTTATCAAATCAGTCAATTCCAAGTATTCGCATAATTTATTCAACCATTCGTCTTTGGTGGGAACGTGATTTCACAGGTGAAGTTTTTAACATGTGTCTTCCCAATTGGTTTTTAACAAGCGTTTTCCCAATGGAACCGCACATTAGAGCTGTTTTCCATCACCCCACCCTCCTCCCATCCTCTTCAATATTTTTGGACCTTTCCCAGGGTTAGCCAGGCTGCCGAAGGCCTCTGTCAAGAGGCAAAGTTATACATCGGTAACAGAAGTGTTGTTATTTTGCAGGTGGAGCGAAGTCACCCGAAAAGTGGAGTTGTGGGTTCAGATTCTGGAGCTTAATGAGAATGGAGAATACTGCCCAGTGGAGGTGATTCCAGCGAAAGATGTACACACAGGCGGCATCTTTCAACTCAGGCAGGTAAGATGGAAATTAAGGCAGCCCACGCTGCCTTGTTCAGTGTGCTGAATTCTCTCTTTAGTGGATCGATCAATTAATGAAATATCAGTTAATCAGTGAAATCACTGAGCATCACTCTGCTGGCAAGATATTCGTGATATCTTTGTCAGGAGTTTGTCCTACGCTCGAGTAGGACCCTGGCAGAGACGCATGCCCGACTGGCATGTTCTCTCCCTCCTGGTCGATCGTTCGGGAGCTTCAAAAGCTTTCTTCAGCCTGAACATCACAGCGACCGATGCCAACAGACACCGGCACACTGAGGGATCCGCAGAGTCTTCGCAGCTTGCGCGACAGACCTCAGCAACTCAGCATTTTGGCTAATCTACTTTATTTACATATAAACACACACGGAGCACTGCAACATGGCTCCCTCTCTCTCTAGCATCAGACAGCAAAGAGAAAAAGAACAAAGGACTATTGTCCCACTTGATGGAACACAGGAACACAAACCTCCTGTCTCCGTCACTTCCCACTCTGTGGAGTCAAAACATACACCATCATGTGATAGACAACAATCCCATGACTTCAATAACGGAGCAGGAATTCTAACAATCTTCAGCTTACTTGCTAAGGTGGGCTTCCGTGGCTGCGTTCAGACATTGTGATAAGCCGTGGCTTTATCATGATGTCCAAACGCAGCCAGATTGCTGGATGTGGGAACATAAGAAAAGCTCTGCTGGATCAGGCGAGTGGTCCATCTAGCCCAGAATCATTTTCTCACAGCCCAAACACCTTTGGGAAGCCTGAAAGCGAGACCTGGGTAAAGCAGCCCTCACCCCGCTTTTGAGTCCCAGGAATTGATATTTCAGAAGAATGCTGCCTCTGGCATTGAACTTAGCCATGGTGGCTTGCTATAGACTTTACCTCCATATATTTGTCTAATCCAGGGGTCACCAGGGGGCCGGTCCACTGTCCCTCAGACCTTGTGGGGGGCCCGACTATATTTAAGAAGCATTAAGATAAATTGAACAGTTTTTATAAAATATGCAGGGATTTATGATATGTAAAATGAACCATGGAAAGAGAAGAAGGGAAGTCACTGATATCGTAAGGATGTTTAAATGTATATTCTAAACTGTAAAACAGAAAATTTATTAAAAATTACATACAGTCGTACCTTGGTTTTCAAACAGCTTAGTTCTCAAACGTTTTGGCTCCCGAACGCCGCAAACCCGGAAGCGACTGTTCCGGTTTGTGAACATTCTTTGGAACCCGAACACCTGAAGGAGCTTCCGTAGCTTCTGATTGGCTGCAGCAGCTTCCTGCAGCCAATCGGAAGCCGCGTTTTGGTTTTCGAACGTTTCGGAAGTCGAATGGACTTCCAGAACGGATTCTGTTCGACTTCTATATATATATATCTAGATATCTAGATATAGAAACTCTGTTATATGTTTTCAGCAAATGCTGAAGACACATTTCATAATGCTGGCGTTCGACACTTGGATATATAACTTCATAATTCCACTTTTTTTGTTGATTGTGGTTGGCTTTTCTTTTTTTTAATTGTAAGTTTTAAAACTCTTTTTAATGTCTCATCTTAAATTGTACGTCTTTTGGAGGGAGCGGGTTGTCGATCTGGACGTACACGGCCAAGTCAGTGCATATTTCTGGTGCAGTGCTGTCTAGAAAGCAGTTGCCAGCAGAGGTCTCCCCCCTACCATCATTCCCTCCCTTCCAACGTGCCGTTTCTTTGCGGGCTTGCAGGGCCAGTCACACCGAATTCAAGTGGAAGTGAAGTCCGTGCAGGAGTCGGGCACGCTGCCTCTGATGGAAGAATCCATCCTCTCGGTCGGAGTGGGCTGCGTTCAGATCAAGCACGCCAGGTCTCCAAAAGGCCACGAGATGCATCAGGTAAGAGCCCTTGCTTATAATGTAAATATTGGAGATTCTGTAGCTCAGAGAGAAAGTATCTGTGGTGCATGCGGAAGGTCCCAGGATCATATATCTGTAACCTTCCAACAGTTTGACTTCACCCCCAAAGGCACGCTCCTCCTTTGTCTCCTGAGACAGACGGAAGCCAGCAGACAGATAGGTAGTTTCAATTCTATCAGTGCTTAATGGTTTTTTTAATTATTATTTTTTCTCCTTGCGTTTTTAACTGCCAGTGCGTGCCGGGTTTACGTATAAGCTAAACAAGCTGTAGCTTCGGGCCCCACTTTCTTGGGCCCCCCCAAAAAAATTAAAGGGGGAAAAATCTGGATGTACGTTTCCAAAATATAAGATAAAAAACAAATAGAATAAAACCTACACACAGCAGGAGTGTTTTGTGTTGTGTATGGACCTATTAGGTCCATAAATTACCATATAGGATGTCTTCAACACAAAAAACAGTGACAATTTGTTGTTGACAATGGACAGCTGGACATATAAAGGGCCCCATTACCTTCAGTAGCTTAGGGCCTCATCAAACATAAATCCAGCTCTGTTACCTACGCTCATTTTTATCTGTAAGCCTCCTTGAGTACCGTATTTTTTGCTCTATAAGACTCACTTTTTCCCTCCTAAAAAGTAAGGGGAAATGTGTGTGCGTCTTATGGAGCGAATGCAGGCTGCACAGCTATCCCAGAAGCCAGAACAGCAAGAGTGATTGCTGCTTTCACTGCGCAGCGATCCCTCTTGCTGTTCTGGCTTCTGAGATTCAGGATATTTTTTTTCCTTGTTTTCCGTCTCCAAAAACTAGGTGCGTCTTGTGGTCTGGTGCGTCTTATAGAGCGAAAAATACGGTACCTTTCAGGGGGAAAGTCAAGGTACAATAATAATTACCACTTTGAATTTACTTGCATTTGCTTGGTTTTTGCCTAGGAAGAAGACGACGACATGGACAGCTACCAGGTAAATAACCTGCTAAAACTTTTCTCCTTTCGGTTTCGGTCCTAACATTCCTTCATCCATCAGAGCAATCAGCATTATAAGGTGGAAGTCACAAGCAAAGGCCAACAGCCGCCACTATTTGAGTTTTCTTCTTCTTCTTCTTTGGCGAACCCTTGTAGCCGAGTAAGATTGTCTTCCATAAACACGGTATTAACAGTGAGTCCGTAAGTGACTGTGGAAACCAATTCTGGAGCCACACGTCCTTCCACAGTGGGGACATAGATTTCCGGGCGGGAGTGTGGATTTGTCAAGCATGCCTTCCTCTTAGCACGTTTCTCCCTTGCATCCTGAGTTTGAGTGTCTTCAAAGCCCAGGACACCTTTGGTAAAGGCTGTTCTCCAATTGCAGCGCTCGCAGGCCAATGTTTCCCAGTTGTCGGTGTTTATACTACATTAAAAAAAATATTTGCCATGAATCATAGAATCATAGAGTTGGAATAGACCACAAGGGCCATCGAGTCCAACCCCCTGCCAAGCAGGAAACACCATCAGAGCACTCCTGACATATGGTTGTCAAGCCTCTGCTTAAAGACCTCCAAAGAAGGAGACTCCACCACACTCCTTGGCAGCAAATTCCACTGTCGAACAGCTCTTACTGTCAGGGTAATGAGACAGTCTTTAAACTTCTTTTGTTGACCACCAGCATTACACTTTCCATTTTTAAGTTTGGAATAGAGCAGTTGCTTTGGAAGACGATAACCAGGCATCCGCACAACACGACCGATCCAATGAGGTTGAGGTTGAAGAATCATTGCTTTGATGCTGGTGATCTTTGCTTCTTCCAGTACACTGCCATTAGTTCGCCTGTCTTCCCAAGTGATATGTAAATTTTTTTTGGAGACACCGTTGATGCAATCTTTCGAGGTGTTGGAGACTGTTTGAGTACCACAGTTTAGGCGCTTCCTCTCTGGGAACAGGTGACTGGGACAGGGAATGGATGATCTCGACTAGGAAAAGAACAGGGCCTTCATGTTTCTGGTCCTCAAGGTCTACACAGAACCTGGTTTCTGCACATAAACACAGACCCTCCTGTCCTCCATCCATAGAAGTATAGAAGTATTGTCAGAATTCAAGGACATGTCCCAGCCAGACAAAGAAACACTCAAGGTTGTGAAGGAAAACCGCTGTGGGGTGTGGCCTGGGGAGACTTCTGAGGGCCAGGTAGAGTGGTCTGGGGGCCACATTTCAACCCTGGTTTACCTGTGTGTAAAGTGCAACTCAGTGTGGCATTCTCCACTGCTCTCTCTCTGGGCGCAGTCTCTGAAGCCTGCCTTTCCATCTCTGCTCACAAGCCTCTACGTGCTTAAAAAATAAATCGAAATTAAGTGGTCTCCAACTTCTTCGCAGGACAGAGACCTGGAGAGGCTGCGTCGGAAATGGCTGAACACGCTTACGAAACGCCAGGAGTATTTAGATCAGCAGCTGCAGAAACTGGTTGGGAAGCCCGGTAAGGAAAAAATATGGTTTCTGCTGCTGGTTGTTGGGAAGCAAATAGGCTGTGGGAAGAGTCCAGAGGTGGTGTTGTTGTTGAGTCGTGTCCGACTTTTCGTGACCCCCTGGACCAGAGCACGCCAGGCACTCCAAGGGTTGAAACAAAACGAACAATAAAAGGTGTTGATCTCCCACTCTGTAACTTTTACTAGAACCAAAACCTGCTGATCGCAGTGGCTGGCACCTCCTTGCATGGCGCAGGAACATTTGCTATTATTATTATTGTTGTTGTTATTTATTAATTACCCCCGCCCTCCCCAGCCAAGACTGGGCTCATAAATATAAAATATAAAAACAATTGATTGAAATACAGCTTAGAAAACAAGATTAAAATACAACATTACTACATTTCAGTGGAAACTGGAGGAAAAAAAACTTTTTTAAACCCAGAGATACATTTTAAATAAAAGCACACATTCTACTCATGTAAAAACACGCTGACCGTCCGCGGGCCAGATTTAGAATGCAATTGGCCTGGATCCGGCCCCCCGGACTTTAGTTTGCCTAGCCATGGACTAGAGCATGTGAAAAAGGAACACAACATTTTAGCAGCAGTTCATTCATTTTCAGCTTCGTATTCATATTATAACAGAAGCGCGCCCAGATATTCCGTTGTCGCGCCATAAGATAGGTTTAAGGTACCATTTAAGTCCTAGCTTTCATATCTCAGTTTCGAACACTGTTGCCCCGACAGAGCGATTGCCACAGCGCAACGTTGAATTCCTCCTTTATAAATATATACATGTTATATATGTATAAATGGAATTTCAAACCCAGTACAGGTGCTGACTTCTGCAAACGTGAATGTTTCGTAAACTCAAGTTTGGACAGCTCCTGTGTTTTTTAATTAACGAGCTTCTTGCCCTGGAGCAAGGGGATTATTATTTTTAAAACTTTTTTAGAACTTCAGTTCTTTAAGGCGTTTGGGGACGAGCCAACCCACAAAGTTTTCTGGGGGCTGCTCAGATGCCGGATCTTTCAAAACATCAATCAAAACACTAAAAGTCAATTGCTCGGTTTCCTGCCTTAAAAAAATCAGCACCATTTATATTATATTTGGAGGGATGCGGGTTGTGCTGTGAGTTAAACCACAGAGCCTAGGGCTTGCCGATCAGAAGGTCGGCAGTTCGAATCCCCACGACGGGGTGAGCTCCCGTTGCTCGGTCCCTGCTCCTGCCAACCTAGCAGTTCAAAAGCACGTCAAAGTGCAAGTAGATAAATAGCTACCGCTCCGGCGGGAAGGTAAACGGCGTTTCCGTGCGCTGCTCTGGTTCACCAGAAGCGGCTTAGTCATACTGGCCACATGACCTGGAAGCTGTACGCCGGCTCTCTCAGCCAGTAAAGCAAGATAAGCGCCGCAACCCCAGAGTCGGTCACGACTGGACCTAACGGTCAGGGGTCCATTTACTTTTTATATTATATTTGCAGAAACAAAGAAAGTCAGTAGAGTTGATGGCAGGATTTAAATAAACGTTCACATTATCAGTATTAGAAAATAGCGAAATATTATAGTGTATTTACTTTTATTTTTATGTTTTTAGGCTTGGTGTTATGTTATTAATAGCTTTTTCTGTTAGGAGGCAACAAAGTGGGTGAAAAGAGAAAGAAATCAGAAGCGGAAGTTGGGGGAAGCCCTGGAGGGAGGAATATATAGTAAATGTTAAGAAATTGAGACGAATGTAATGAATGAAAAAGAAAAATGAATAATAATTTTTAAAAATCAGCACGGGGAGGGGATTTTAATGTATTTTTAATCTTGATTGGAAGCTACCCAGAGCGGCTGGGGAAACCCAGCCTGATGGGCTGTGTACAAATAAAAATTATTATTATTATTATTATTGTTGTTTGTTTGCTGTTTTGGGAGCTCCCAGCCGACCTCCGCACTGTGTTACAGCAGTCGGGATAGGAGCCACGCGGGTATTTGCGAAGCCCCGGCAGAAAGCTATAACTTTGTCGTACTCTTGCAGACAAAACAGAAGACGACACGGACCGGGAAGCCCAACTGCTGGAGATGAGGCTGACCCTGACGGAAGAAAGGAACGCGGTCATGGTGCCTTCCGCAGGGAGCGGGATTCCTGGAGCGCCTGCTGAGTGGTAAGGCGCCTTTGCAACGAGGCCACAGCCGAAGGGCTGCTTTTTGCAGCCTGCTTAGAAGAAAAGCTTTTGCCATGTGCCGAAACCTCATCTGTGTTGGCGTCAGCCTTCTTCTTCCTCTTCTTTGGCAATCCCTCGTAGCCGAGTAAGATTGTCTTCCATAAACACGGTTTTAACACTGAGCCCATAAGTGACCGTGGAGGCCAGTTCTGGATCCACACATCCTTCCTCAGTGGGGACATTGGTTTCCAGGCGGGAGTTGATCACGGTGTCAGTTTGCCAAGCATGTCCCTTCCTCTTAGCACATTTCTCCCTTGCGTCCTGAGTTCGAGTGTCTTCAAAGCCCATGACACCTTTGGTAAAGGCTGTTCTCCAATTGGAGCGCTCGCAGGCCAGTGTTTCCCAATTGTTGGTGTCTATACTACATTTTTTTTGAATTTCCTTGAGACAGTTTTTAAATCTCTTTTGTTGACCACCAGCACTACGCTTTCCATTTTTAAGTTGGGAATAGAGTAGTTGCTTTGGAAAACGATCATCAGGCATCTGCAAAACACGACCAGTCCAACGAAGTTGATGTTGAAGAACCTCTAAGTCTAGGGGAAGAGAGGAAGGTTGTAGACTCTGCTTCCTTGGAGATTTTTAAGCAGAGATTGGATGGTCATCTGTCCCGGATGTTTTAGCTGAGATTCCTGCATTGCAGGGGGTTCGGCTAGATGATCCGTGGGGTCCCTTCCAGCTCTGCCATTCTATGGTGCTAAGAGTGTTTCACAGTTAGGGTGCTGCCACCAAGAAGACCCTGTTCCGAATTCCAATCATCTGGACTTCGTTAGGAGATGGTTTGACCAAAAAGATCTGAACTTACTGGCAGGACTAATGCATTCCCACTTGGTGGTGTGATCTCAGCACTGTTCTCTCCTCCTTGAACTCCCCTTTGCCTCTGCAGTGACCCTGAATAGCAGATCCATAGCCCCAGTTTGGGACCAGGCTGCCACACCTCCTTGCACTGAGGAAAGGAGGATTTTGCATTTGAATCCTTGGAATTTACTATTGACATCAGAACATAAGAAGATCCTGCTGGATCAGGACTGTGTCCCATCTAATAATAATAATAATAATAAAAATACAGTGGTACCTCGGGTTAAGTACTTAATTCGTTCCAGAGGTCTGTTCTTAACCTGAAACTGTTCTTAACCTGAAGCACCACTTTAGCTAATGGGCCTCCTGCTGCCACCGTGCCGCTGGAGCACAATTTCTGTTCTCATCCTGAAGCAAAGTTCTTAACCCATGGTAATATTTCTGGGTTAGCAGAGTCTGTAACCTGAAGTATATGTAACCTGAAGCGTATGTAACCCAAGGTACCACTGTAATAATAATAATAATAATAATAATAATATTTTATTTATATCCCGCCCTCCCCAGCCGAAGCTGGGCTCAGAGCGGCTAACAACAATAAAAGTAACACAGCATTCTAAAATCAATTCATTCTAAAATCAGTTCAGAATCAAATGAATGGCAACCATTGGGCTAGAGTTCTGTGAGGATTGCCAAGGGAGGGGTCAGGCTGTGCCTTGGCCAAAGCCCAGGTGGAACAGCTCTGTCTTGCAGGCCCTGAGGAAAGATGTCAAGTCCCGCAGGGCCCTAGTCTCTTGGGACAGAGCGTCCTACCAGATCGGGGCCAGTACTGAAAAGGCCCTGGCTCTGGTTGAGGGCAGCCTAACCTCCCCGTGGCCCGGGACCTCCAAGATGTTTTTGCTTGAGGACCGTAAGGTCCTCCATGGGACATACCAGGAGAGGCGGTCCAGCATCCTGTTCTCACAGTGGCCAACCGGACACCCCAGTGGGAAACCTCGCGCAGGATCTGACCACAAGGGCAACTCTCCCCTCCTGTGGCTTCCAGCAGCTGGCATTCAGAAGCATTGCTTCCTCCGGCTGTTGAAACTGTGGAACTCCCTGCCACATGAGGCGCTGGTGGCCACCAACCCATGTGGCTTTAAAAGAGGATTCGGGAAATTCACGGAGGAAGAGAGGGCTATCAATGGTTACCGGCCAGGATGGCTGTGTTTTGCCTCCACGTTTCGAGGCGGCAACACTTCTGAGTACCACTGGCTGGGGAAAACAGAATGGGGGAGAGGGCTCTCGTGCTTGGATTCCTGCGTATGGGTTCCCCGTAATGAGCATCTTGCTTGGCCGCTGAGGACAGGATGCCGGACTTGATGGGCCATTGGCCTTGATCCGGCAGGCTCTTCTAGCTTAACTATGTGGTTTAGTCGTTTAGTCGCATCCGACTCTTCGTGACCCCATGGACCAGAGGACGCCAGGCACTCCTGTCTTCAACTGCCTCCCGCAGTTTGGTCAGACTCATGCTGGTAGCTTCGAGAACACTGTCCCACCATCTCATCCTCTGTCGTCCCCTTCTCCTTGTGCCCTCCATCTTTCCCAACATCAGGGTCTTTTCCAGGGAGTCTTCTCTTCTCATGAGGTGGCCAAAGTCTTGGAGCCTCAGCTTCAGGATCTGTCCTTCCAGTGAGCACTCGGGGCTGATTTCCTTCAGAATGGAGAGGTTTGGATCTTCTTGCAGTCCATGGGACTCTCACGAGTCTCCTCCAGCACCATAACTCAAAAGCATCAATTCTTCGACGATCAGCCTTTTTGATGGTCCAGCTCTCCCTTCCATACATCACTACTGGGAAAACCATAGCTTTAATTATGTGGACCTTTGTTGGCAAGGTGATGTCTCTGCTTTTTAAGATGCTGTCTAGGTTTGCCATAGCCTTTCTCCCAAGGAGCAGGCGTCTTTTAATTTCGTGACTGCTGTCACCATCTGCAGTGATCCCCTTCATGGATCACTGCCTTGCCGTGGTGAAGGGGCTTGAATAACTCAGAGAAGCTATGAGCTATGCCGTGCAGGGCCACCCAAGATGGACAGGTCATAGTGGAGAGTTTTGACCAAACGTGATCCACCTGGAGCAGGGAGCCGGCAACCCACTCCAGTATCCCTGCCAAGAAAACTCCATGGACAAAGACAACAGGCATATAAAAGCTTAACTATACAAGGGAGTAACTTGGCAGTGCAGAGAAGAGGCTTTTCCCGTCCCTGAGAGACAGGTGTGCCCTGCCGTGTCCCAGAAGCCACAACAAAGCTTGAATTTGCGGAGTGACATTGGTTCCTCCTGCCTGATATTCTTGAGAGGGTTTGAAATGACATCCGAGAGGGTGAAGGGCGAATGGGGAGGGTGGGGAAAGGGGAGGGAGGAAGGAAGGAAGGAAGGAAGGAAGGAAGGAAGGAAGGAAGGAAAAGGCGAAACGACCTGAATAATTTCCCCTAGGCTCCATATAACGCAAGCAGCGAAATGTCCTCTGCTTAAAGCAACCGGGTTATTAGCCAGAGTTTAATTATGATCCTCTGTAGGAACGGAATCAATATTTATTGCTGCTGCACTTTAGCTGATTTGAAAGAAAAATGGTAATGCTAATTGCCCGGTTCATTCACTTAAGAGGGGCCCCGCTCCGTACTCGCGATAACCGCTTCGGTCAGAACATCGGCCTGGATTCCGGGTTTCACGTACCTCCCTACCCTGCCAGAGTCCTCTGTAGTCAGCAGATATGCCACGAAATCTTTCATTCGTGACGCTGGTAATAGAATCAGGTCCAGCCTGCCCTGGCCTCCGGGTCACAGGAGCTGCAATTATCGGCAAGCCAGGAAATTCTATGCCCCAAACTGAATTTGAGGTCTGGTTAAGAGAGTGATCCATCAGCCAGGGAGTCGCCAGTTCAAATATCATGTTGGCCGTGAACTTCCTTGAATGTTCTTAGGCAAACTAATATCCATTAGCCTGAATTAACACACACACCTCTTTCAATCCCTCGCCTAATGAGAAAAGTAACGGTGTTTTTCAAAGGGTTCTTATAAAGATTCCTGAGATAATGTTTGTGACCTGTTCCAAGTACAGGGGGAAATGTCATATAAGTACCAGGTATTCTTATTTTTCAGGGACGCGGGTGGCGCTGTGGGTTAAACCACAGAGCCTAGGGCTTGCCGATCAGAAGGTCGGTGGTTTGAATCCCTGCGATGGGGTGAGCTCCTGTTGTTTGGTCCCAGCTCCTGCCCACCTAGCAGTTCGAAAGCACGCCAGTGCAAGTAGATAAATAGGTACCACTCCGGCGGGAAGGTTAACAGCGTTTCCGTGCGCTGCTCTAGTTCACCAGAAGCGGCTTAGTCATGCTGGCCACATGACCCGGAAGCTGTACGCCGGCTCCCTCGGCCAATAAAGCGAGATGAGCGCCGCAACCTCATAGTCGGTCACGACTGGACCTATGGGTCAGGGGTCCTTTCAGCTTTACTATTATTATTTTTAGAACTTCTGTAGCCTTCTTTTCAACCTCCTCAAAGTCAAGGTTGGATTCGGTTCTGATTTTAATCGTGAGTGGCCTACAGATCGCTACAGACAAGAAGGGCCCTACAGCCAGGCTTAGAATCTGAAAAGACACGGCACAGAAGGAAAGTGGATTGGGATGGAGGAGGAAATAAGCAAACCCCAGACACAAGTTTTTGCTTTTAAGGAGGTTAAAACGTTCAAGGAATGGAGGAGCCAAAAGTTGCTGGTCTCCCAGCTGCACCAGTGTAAAGGAGGAACACTTTAGCTGTATTCATGCTTTACCTTACGTATTTTAGGTAAACGCCTGATGTGTTTTAAGATTACACCTGAACATGTTGAATGGAATCTTTGTCCACACTGCCTTGGTAAACACCGGCTCTTGCAGATTCTAGAACCACAACAGCATTTCATATCTTAGTGAAGCTGTTTGCAGTTTGCAGAACACCTCCAAACCGACCTGAGGAACGGGAGGGAGCTGTTTCTGAGGGCCTGAGACTCTGCCTAGGCAACCTAAGGCCCGGGGGCCAGATGCGGCCCAATCACCTTCTCAATCCGGCCTGCGGACGGTCTGGGAATCAGTGTGTTTTTACATGAGTAGAATGTGCCCTTTTATTTAAAATGCATCTCTAGGTTATTTGTGGGGCCTGCCTGGTGTTTTTACATGAGTAGAATGTGTGCTTTTATTTAAAGTGCATCTCTGGGTTATTTGTGGGGCATAGGAATTCGTTCATTTTTTCTCTCTTCAAAATATAGTCCGGCCCACCACATGGTCTGAGGGACGGTGGACCGGCCCATGGCTGAAAACGGTTGCTGACCCCTGCCTAGATAATATTTCGGCTGCTTGCCCTTTGCAGATAGCTGTGAAAAACCATGCCATTTATGCCTTTGGCCCATCGCTTTGCAGCATCCTTGTGACCAAGAGAGTGGTTTAAATTAGCTTGTTTATTTTGCAATTATCCAACTACATGCGCTTGGAGTAAGCAGCGTAGGGGAGCTCCTTAGCATTTGACAGCAACACACACTCATTTCTGCTACCGGGAACGCAGCCCTGGTTGAAAAAAGGCCCCCGAAAGTACTGAATGTCCTCTGCGTCTAGCTGAGTAAATTGAGATGAAGCCACAGCCCCACCAAGGTTATATCGTTGCCTTGACCTACAATTGCCCGGGTACCGAGTGTAATAACACGGTTGCTGTGATGCTCCCGGCGACGTGTTCCATGTTAAATCTGCCTCCATTGATATGCCAGTGCTGACTGCGTCTCTCTCTTTTAGGACCCCTGTGCCAGGTATGGAGACTCACATCCCAGTCATCTTCCTTGATTTAAACGGTAAGTGAGATCAGAAATGACAGCACTTGAGGGATGTGGAAAGGAATGCAGCAAGAATTGCGTTGGGGGCGGGGAGTGAATGACAAGCAGGCGTTCCGAGTGGTTGCTCGTGGTGTCAGTCAACCATTGAACTAGGTCCTATGTACCACTAGGTCCTATGTACCACTTTTGTATCATTATTATTATTATTATTATTAATCAATTTATAAACCACCATTTATCCAAAGGTCCAAGGGCGCTGTGCAACACGGAGAGCATAATTTACACAGCAAAATGATAAAAGCATAAAACCTAATAATGCACAGCATGTTCATGAAATTTTGAGACCTGCCGGTATACAAATTTACACAAATAGTAATAATAATAATTGAAATAATCGTACCAGCAGTCCCCCCCCCACGTTTAACAAGCCGTAGAATAATAATAATAATAATAATAATAATAATAATAATTATTATTATTTATTATTTATACCCCGCCCATCTGCCTGGGCTTCCCCAGCCACTCTGGGCGGCTTCCAACAGAACACTAAAATACAATAACCTATTAAACATTAAAAGCTTCCCTAAACAGGGCTGCCTTCAGATGTCTTCTAAAAGTCTGGTAGTTGTTCTCTTTGACATCTGGTGGGAGGGCATTCCACAGGGTGGGCGCCACCACCGAAAAGGCCCTCTGCCTGGTTCCCTGTAACTTGGCTTCTCGCATTGAGGGAACGGCCAGAAGGCCCTCGGCGCTGGACCTCAGTGTCCAGGCAGAACGATGGGGTGGAGACGCTCCTTCAGATATACTGGACTGAAGCCGTTTAGGGCTTTCAAGGTCAGCACCAACACTTTGAATCGTGCTCAGAAACGTACTGGGAGCCAATGCAGATCTCTCAGGACCGGTGTTATATGTTCTCGGTGGCCACCCCCAGTCACCAGTCTAGCTGCCGCATTCTGGATTAATTGCAGTTTCCGGGTCACCTTCAAAGGTAGCCCCACGTAGAGCGCATTGCAGTAGTCCAAGCAGAAGATAACTAGAGCATGCACCACTCTGGCGAGACAGTCTGCGTGTAGATAGGGTCTCAGCCTGTGTTCCAGATGGATCTGATAAACAGCTGCCCTGGACACAGAAATGACCTGCGCCTCCATGGACAGCTGTGAGTCCAAAATGACTCCCAGGCTGCACTGGGAGAGATGTGACCTGATCCTTCGGGGCACAGTCACCCCATTCGGGACCAGGGAATCCTCCACACCCGCCAACCTCTAACTGTCCAAAAAACTGCCCTAGGTACCACTTTTGTATCACTATTATTATTATTCAATTTATACACCACCGTTTATCCAAAGGTCTGAGGGCGTTGTGGAACACCGAGAACATAATTTACGCAGCAAAATGGTAAAAAGCATAAAACATAATAATGCACAGCCTGTTAATGAAATTTTGAGACCTGCGGGCATAAGGCGGTATACAAATTTACACAAATAGTAATAATAATTGAAATAATCATACCAGCAGTCTCCCCCCCCACACACATTTAACAGGCCTTAGATTGTTTAGTAATGCCCATTTCATAGAAGAAACATTGGCAATGCCCACCCAAACAAGAGGGAAAAGGATGCACATCTTCCAAAAATCATAATGCATGTAAAAAAGCAGCCCTCGCCCTCTGTTAAGCAACAAGAAGAAAACGCTCAATTTGGTTAATTTGCCTGTTTTCTGCTCTGGCGCCACCTGCTGTTCGTCTCCCTGCTTGCTGACCAACCAGCTGGGCACCAGCTACCACTGTTTATATTGCAGGAGTTGCTGTTGGTAGAGAGGGTTTACCTTGCCCAGAGTTTCCTGTTGAGCTTGCAACCCAGGGTTTCCCAGGTCCGCTGTGGTGCAGTTGCTCAGCACATTCTGAACTTCTCTCTCCCTCTCTTTCTACAGCGGATGACTTCAGCTCTCAGGATAACCTCGACGAGCCAGAAGCTGGCGGCTGGGACGCCACCCTGGTTGCCGAAGACGAGGACGAATTCTTCGAGCTGCAGATTGTGAAGCACCACGAGAGCGAGGTAAGGCACGGAATGAGTCGTAAACTCCATTCCCAAGGCTGCCAATGGAGCAGGGTTAACAGCAGCCCTGGGAGAGATGTGACCAGTATCTGTTCTTTGTACAGTGGTACCTTGGTTCTCAAACATAATCCGTTCAGCAAGTCTGTTCCAAAACCAAAGCGTTCCAAAACCAAGGTGTGCTTCCCCATAGAAAGTAATGCAAAACAGATAAATTGCAAACAGATAAAAACATTGGCAGGATTATTGTAATAAGCTGCCGTTTGATAAGAGTATATACTTAAAGTAGATAAAATGAGCAAAGCTGAATTTGGATATGCATAAGACATATAAAAAACAACTTTAACGAACTGCAGAAAGAGGGGAGAAGGAAGTCAAGTTTTGAAGAAAACGATTGTAAAATTAATGAAAACCTGAAAAGTAAAAAATAATAATATTATTTTCAAAAGGCCTGACAGGGAAAAAACAGCCTTCAGGAAGGACAAGGAGGGAGCCACTCTAACTTCACTAGGCAGGGAGTTCCATAGTTTGGGAGCAGCCACTGAGAAGGCCCTTTCCCCATCAAAAGAGTTCTCTTAAACCTGTTGCAGTTGCGAGCCTCTTTGAGTGTGTTTTCACCCCGGAAATGTGGCTTGCAGAGAAACACGGATGTAGGTGTGTTGACCGAGGATGTTGTGTTTGTGTGTTGTTTCACAGGTGAAGGCCGAAGCTTCCTGGGACTCCACAGTCCACAACTGCGCGCAGCTCAGCAGAGGAACAGCCGCTGAGCAGAGGGTCTTCCTGATTGTCCGAGTGACCGTACAGCTCAGCCACCCGGCCGAGATGCAGCTGGTCCTCCGCAAGCGGATTTGCGTCAGCGTCTACGGCAAGCAGGTACAGCAGCCTTCCTAGGCGTTCATTATCTCCATTTGCTCTTGGCATGATGCAGTTGCACACCTAGAAGCATTGCTGCCATTGCGGCGAGCAGGAAATCGCAAGGCATGGCTTTGATGAAGCCGATGTCTCTTAACATGGGACAAGGTGTGGAAATATTGGAGCAAAGCTCTGCTTCTTGCTAACAGCAGCAAGCCGGTTGTAGGAGTGCAAATATCCAGAGTGTGGGGTCAAGTGGGATTACAGTGGTGCCTCGCAAGACGAAATTAATCCGTTCCGCGAGTCTCTTCGTCTTGCGGTTTTTTCGTCTTGCGAAGCACGGCTATTAGCGGCTTAGCGGCTATTAGCGGCTTAGCGGCTCTTAGCGGCTATTAGCGGCTTAGCGGCTTTAAGAAAAAGGAAACAAACTCGCAAGAACTCGCAAGACGTTTCGTCTTGCGAAGCAAGCCCATAGGGAAATTCGTCTTGTGGAATGACTCAAAAAACGGAAAACCCTTTCGTCTGGCGAGTTTTTTGTCTTGCGAGGCATTCGTCTTGCGGGGCACCACTGTACTATGAGGAATTATAAAGTATGCATCAAGCCATTGTGTCCGCTGTGAAAGCATGGCGTTGACTGGGTTTAATTCATTGACAATACTTTCTGACCAAATCCTACAACCCTCTGCATCTCTGGCCATTTCCTCTACTGTCCATTTCTCTTTCTTGACAAGTCACGTACACAGCCCAGGTGCCAGTTGCTTCGCCAGGCAGGCATCCTGGGCCATCAAAGACAGTGGGCAGTTTCTTTGATGTAGCTTTTCTGATATGTTAATCTTAGGATGTTAATCTTAGGGCCAGGAAACAGATCTCACCTGAAGGCGATAATGATCGCTGTCTTCCTGGCCATCCTCCTTATCATGTATATTGCTTGTTTATCGCCTCCGGGCTTGCCAGACGCACTCCTTTGTAGTTCTGTTTTGTTTACGCCAGAAATATGTGTGCTTAATTAGTTTTGGTAGTTTAACTTTGTCCCCACGTGGGTTTGTTGAAATGCTCAGAAGAAATCGGATTGGTTCTTACGAACACTCTGTAAAAAGTTCTTTTGTGAGTAAAACGACCTGGGCCAGGGGGTGGAGAGACAGATTATTATACGCACCCTTCCCAGAGTCTTGCTGGTTCAAGCCTCTGGGTGTATTCTTATTAATCAGAGCTCAATCCTTCCTTTACTTTGGGAATGCCTCAGCCGATCGGGCGCAGGGGGCGGTGAGTGTGCCCTGCGCCCAGGGGTGAGTCCAGCTGGGGCAGGACACACCGGAGTCTGCCTGCCCCCTCCCACTCAGCCGCCCCACAGCTAAGGGGGAGGCGGCAGGCGGGCTGTTCGGGGCAGCACAGAGCCTGCGCGCACCCAAACCACCGTGGCTCTCCCAGGAGAGATGCGTGGCTCGGGCACACTGCAGGCCCTGCGGTGAGTGCCACCCGGCATTTTGTCACCCCCCTAAATGGTGACACCTGGGGCGGCCCTCCGCCACCGCACCCCCCTTCCTCTGCCCCTGCCTCAAAAGAAATGACTGTCTTTCTAGTTTAGTGTTTTCAATTAAAAATGACTTTTGGCGTGTCCCCTTTCCTCTGCTTCTTTGATCCCTGGGGATTTGGAAAAGGGGATCCACTGGCTTCACCCTCCAGCTTTGGGACTCAGCCGTGGAGCTTAACCCTCTTGCCTCAACTGACTCTCTCTCTTTCCTTTTCCTCCTCTCTTCCTCGCTCCGGGCTCCCTGGCAGTCACGAGAATGCTGCAGAGAGGCTTCAGGAGGGTAGTAACCCATTGCTGACTCTGCCCCCGTGCCAATAGCCTCTTTCTGCATGGCTTCGATGTGTGCAAGGAGCTGAAGTACCGAGGACTGCTTGTGTTGTAGCATCCTTTGCCACTGGAATAAGATGCTTCTTATTATTCATTCCCCTTGCTGCCTTGTGAGGGTTTTGTTTTGTTTTTTGTGAACAGGCAGTGTTGGGCAGGTTGTATACTTTCATGGGCCTTTGCTGCATGCGAGCAACCTGTGCTTCAGCAAATCTACGTTGCCAGCAGGTCACCCCATCTCTTGTCATCTCATGTAGCCAGCTTTGTTTTGGCGGCGTTTGTGACCCCCCTTTTCTGTTGCCCTGCGTGCTGGGATGTGGCTATTGTGACTGGAACGTGAGGTATGCGTGTGTGCTTTTTTCCCCTGCCTCACTTTACAAGGACAAGTAGGAATAGAGGAAGCGGCCTTCTGTCTAGCCCAGCGCTGTCCACGCTGACTGCCAGAGTCTGTCCACGGTTTCAGACAGATTATTTCCTAGTCCTAAGGTAAAGGTAAAGGGACCCCTGACCATTAGGTCCAGTCGTGGCTGACTCTGGGGTTGTGGCGCTCATCTCTCTTTATTGGCCGAGGGAGCCGGCGTACAGCTTTCGGGTCATGTGGCCAGTATGACTACGCCGCTTCTGGCGAACCAGAGCAGCGCACGGAAACGCCGTTTACCTTCCCGCTATAAAGCGGTACGTATTTATCTACTTGCACTTGACATGCTTTTGAACAGCTAGGTTGACAGGAGCTGGGACCAAACAACTGGAGTTCACCCCGTCGCGGGGATTCGAACCGCCGACCTTCTGATCGGCAAGTCCTAGGCTCTGTGGTTTAACCCAGCCCTACCTAGAGATAAAAAAAGGTAAAGGACCCCTGACAGTTAAGTCCAGTCACGGACAACTCTGGGGTTGTGGCACTCATCTTGCTTTACTGGCCGAGGGAGCAGGCGTTTGTCTGCAGACAGTTTTTCCGGGTTGTGTGGCCAGCAGGACTGAGCCGCTTCTGGCGCAACGGAACACCAAAAGCAGAGCAGTGCATGGAAACGCCGTTTACTTTCCCGCCAGAGTGATACCTATTGATCTACTTGCACTTTTTGGCGTGCTTTCGAACTGCTGGGTTGGCAGGAGCAACAGGAGCTCACCCTGTCACGGGGATTCAAACCTGGAACCCTTTGCATGCAAAGCAGGTTGCTCTGTCTCTGAGCTATGGTCCTTTTCCCTACGTGAATTCAGATGGGTCACCTGTCTTCCTGGGACTCCACAGTGCACCACGGAAGTTCAGTCAAGCAGTTAAGCTCACTGCAGGAAACAGCTAGGTAGCAGAGATAGATTTTACTTGGCATACATACACAGACACAAAAACTATTTACGGTTGCTACAAGAAGTCTCCACTCTCTGAGCCCAGAGAGGGTTCCGGCTTACAAAGACAGAGTCCACACAGCAAGTGCAAAATCCAGTTGCTCACAAAGTCCTGCAACTGCAAGAGTTCTCTCGAGTCCAGAAGTCTTGCAAGATGAGCTCTTCTCGAAGCCTTCCACATTTGCACAGGATCTCTCCAACACTCTCCATGTCTCCAGCAGATTCTCCTATACTCCCCAGCAAGGACTGCTGTGACTTGAGCCCTTATCTACCCAGCGCCACTGTTCTGGTTTGTTGAGCAACTCAGATAAGGCTGTCACATGGTGCCTGCAGCTGCACTGTGAGGTGGTGGGGAACCGTATTTCTGCCGACTCACGGAAAATTAACCCCTTTCCCGCTTTCCTTACCATCACCATCCCAGAATAGCCAGTTATGTCTGAGGGCCATTGCTAAGAACACCTTTGAGATGCACTGGTGATGTGTCAAAAATACATCTTTCACATTGCCCCTGATCTTCCCCTTTGTGCACAGTTCTTTGCAAGAGGGCACTGCTCCAAGGCCCTTTGCATTCTGAGGACAGACAGGTGTCCGTCAAGAGGTTAGATGGATGCCCTCGCTGCAGAGTGCTTAGCCTAGAGAGGCACCCCAGCCCTCACCGGGTTCATACTTGCACTCATGCAGCACTCTCCTCTCGCATTATTATTCTTTTATTTATTTATTTATTTTATTTATTTACAATAATATTTATTAGTTTTCAATAGATATAACAAATATATATATATACAACAACACAATAAAGAAGTAAAAGAGAAGAAAAAAGAATAACAAACTTAACATACCTAAACGGGGGGGGGGGGGATAAAACTCAATTAATTAATTAAAATCCATTTTCATAAGCATTTTAGTTGACTTCCTCTAATCTCCTCCATCTGAATTTCCTCTTAATTTGAATGTAGCAGTTTCCAATATCATTATTTCGTAAAACAGTATTACAGTCGTATTCCAATTTCTTTACCTTTCTTATAATACATTTTCTTATTTATTATATTTAAGTCTAATTTAGTCCTAAGCCTAATTGGTTCTTTCAAGTGGTTGCATATCTTTAATATTAGCATATTTATTCAAATAGTCTTTAAATTTCTTCCAGTCTTCTTGGTAGTCCTCTTCTTTCTGGTCGCGGATTCTCCCGGTGAGATCAGCCAGCTCCATAAATTCCGTCATCTTCATCTGCCATTCTTCTTGCATTATTATTCTTTTAAGCCCCTGAGCCGTGATCTGGATGAGTTCCCTCCACGCAGCTCTTTTCCCACCCTGAAACTTAGGGTGCTGTTGTGGTTTGTGCCATGGTTTTTAACTTCCTTAAGTATCGGTTGGGTTTCCTTACATCATCCCTTGTGCTTTTCTGTGCTGGGGGGAGATGGGGGAAGAAGTCCTTGCAGCCTGCGCGATAGATGCGAGCAAAACAAAAAAATGCCTCGCATTCAGAGGGTTGGACTAGATGACCTTTGGGTGCCTTCCAGCTCTTCAATTCTATGATTCTGTGATGCGTTTCCTTTTTATCCCATAACCTCTGGGCCTGTTTCACTGTCAGTTCTCCTGGGGTCGTACGAACCCCCTGCTCCTTGAATGCACTTAAATATCTTCTTTACCCATGCTTCTGTTCAGCTGCTAGTTTTTGGGGGGACAGTTTGGAAGTGGAGCATTTGGGGGAATTGTAAAACTTTACTCGTCCACCTTTGCAGGAACTTCCTATTGATTCCAAGCAGCCATTGACAGCATCCTTCTCCTCCCTGAGGAGCTCTCTTTATTTTATTTTATTTTATTTTATTAGAAATTTTAATACATTTATACATACATATTACAGATATACAAACAAACATCCATTTCATACAATCCTTAAAAATATTCCTACATACCCACATTCAATCCCGCGCATACTTCCTTTTCCCACCACCGTCCCTCACCCCACCCTGTGCTAGACTTCCAATCTACTCAATTGCAATTTCTTTCCATTTCTATTACAGTGGTACCTCGGGTTAAGTACTTAATTTGTTCCAGAGATCCATGCTTAACCTGAAACTGTTCTTAACCTGAAGCACCACTGCAGCTAATGGGGGCCTCCTGCTGCCGCTGCGCCGCTGGAGCACGATTTCTGTTCTCATCCTGAAGCAGAGTTCTTAACCTGAAGCACTATTTCTGGGTTAGCGGAGTCTGTCACCTGAAGCATATGTAACCTGAAGCATATGTAACCTGAGGTACCACTGTACTTTCTTTCACACACTGTTAAACCAACTTTCTACTTCTTTTTCGTTACACATTGTTATCCGTATTATTTGATATTTCAGTATTTATAGCGGAGCTTGTTTATTCTAATAGGAGTTCTGGTTTTTCAATATGATTTTGCAAATACTCTTTAAATGCCTTCCAATCCCCTGAGGAGCTCTCAAGTTCGGATCTTTCCCAGCCCTTTCTCCCAGAGGTGGTTGTGCTGGAGATGTTGAGGATCAGACATGGGACCTTGTGCTTTGCAGACCATGACCTCCACTCCTCAGCTGTGACCCTCTCTGTGTTTTCCACACCCCAGCCACAGTTAGCACCCTCCACAAATTCCTTTCCTGTTCTGCCTGCGGAGCTCGCTGGGCTTCTTAGCTATTCAGTGCCGCCACCGACGTGCAGCCCAAATGTGCATTTCAAAAGCGTATCAATAACCTTCCGATGCGCCCAGTCGTTTTGCAGCAAGCTGGGGATGACTCATCTCTGCATTAATTCAGGAGTCGGGATTTTAACCTCGCGAGGCACCCTGTCAGCATAAACAATGGTTCTGCCCCGTCTTAAATCATTGCTGGCAATGATCTCTGTGGCCAAGGATTCGGTGGCCAGACTCGTCTGCAATTCGAAGCACAAATAACTCTGAGCTCACGAGAAAAAAGATAGAGGCTTGCACTGGTTCTGCAGGTTAAGTCGTCACCTTCCTAGGTTTTCTGTAATTCGTTTGTTCATTTGCAGCGTTTATACCCCGCCCAAAGAGGCCAAAGGCTAACTAAAATCAGTTCTAAGACAGTCCCTGCCTCGTGACCTGGAAAAACACGACACACAAGGAAAAAGGGAAGGGGAGGGAAGAGGGAGAAACAAGCACATGTTCTTCAAGTTGCTGTTTTTACGATGCAGTTGTATGTAGTAGCAACTCCTCCCAGATGTCAGTGTTGGTTCTGGCTGACTTGTCCTGATAAAGAACAATAACACCCCAGAAACACCTCCCCCCCCCAGGTTAGATCTAAGAGCAGAGCTGGTGGCCAGGAGCACACAATTTTCCCCTTGCAGAAGGGGTATAGAATCATAGAATCATAGAGTTGGAATAGACCACAAGGGCCATCGAATCCAACCCCCTGCCAAGCAGGAAACACCATCAGAGCACTCCTGACATATGGTTGTCAAGCCTCTGCTTAAAGACCTCCAAAGAAGGAGACTCCACCACACTCCTTGGCAGCAAATTCCACTGTCAAACAGCTCTTACTGTCAGGAAGTTCTTCCTAATGTTTAGGTGGAATCTTCTTTCTTGTAGTTTGGATCCATTGCTCCGTGTCCGCTTCTCTGGAGCAGCAGAAAACAACCTTTCTCCCTCCTCTATATGACATCCTTTTATATATTTGAACATGGCTATCATATCACCCCTTAACCTCCTCTTCTCCAGGCTACACATGCCCAGCTCCCTTAGCCGTTCCTCATAAGGCATCGTTTCCAGGCCTTTGACCATTTTGGTTGCCCTCCTCTGGACACATTCCAGTTTGTCAGTGTCCTTCTTGAACTGGGGTGCCCAGAACTGGACACAGTACTCCAGGTGAGGTCTGACCAGAGCAGAATACAGTGGCACTATTACTTCCCTTGATCTAGATGCTAGACTCCTATTGATGCAGCCCAGAATTGCATTGGCTTTTTTAGCTGCCGCGTCACACTGTTGGCTCATGTCAAGTTTGTGGTCAACCAAGACTCCTAGATCCTTTTCACATGTAGTTACCCTCCTCCTTCACTGATGCCACTGGCAGATCCGACGGCCTTGCCCTCCCTGGTGGCAACATCCAGACTCGGTCATCTATGCAAACCAGATGACCAGACTCGGTCATCTACGGCCTAGGACCCTCGTACCTACGGGACCACCTCTCCTGGGACGTCCCACGGAGGACCTTACGGTCTTCACACAAAATCATCTTGGAGATCCCAGGCCACAGAGATGTTAGGCTGGCCTCAACCAGAGCCAGGGCTTTTTCGGCTGTGGCCCCGATCTGGTGGAACACTCCGTCACAAGAGACTAGGGCCCTGCGGGACTTGACATCTTTCCGCAGGGCTTGCAAGACGGAGCTGTTCCACCAGGCCTTTGGCCAGGGCACAGCCTGACCCCTCCTTCTGTAATCCTCACAGCACTCTAACCCAATGGTTGCCATTAATTTGATTTTGACTTGATTTTAGAATGAACTGATTTTAGAATGCTGTGTTACTTTTATTGTTGTTAGCCGCTCTGAGCCCGGCTTCGGATGGGGAGGGCGAGATATAAATAACATTTTATTATTATTTTATTAAACGTAACATTTGCGCCAGTGCTAGAAACTTGAGGTCCATTCACGTGTTTCCTTTCTGGGGATCCAAACATCTCTAACCGTAACAAATCATGTTTTCAATGTGGCACGGAGCCTCTCAGACACGTTCAGTCCCACAGATCCTGCTACCTGCCGGAAAGATTTGGGGGTTGGGTGTCCTCAGAAACCAGGACAACCGACATATAGTTTGGTGTGTGAATGTCCTCCACCACCCGATGCACCAAATGCAGAGCTATGCATGCTTTCCTTTGATACCTGCGTCCCAGGGGGTTGGACTAGATGGCATCTGGGGTCCCTTCGGGGTTTCTTCCCCTTCGCTGCCTGTACCCCGAAAGAAGTGACTTTTTCTTTTAAGAATAGTTCTTGGTTTTTATATTTACAGAATACAATTCCTTGCACTCTCTAAAAGGTTGCCATGGGTTTAGTAAAGGTAAAGGGACCCCTGACCATTAGGTCCAGTCGTGACCGACTCTGGGGTTGCGCACTCATCTCGCTTTACTGGCTGAGGGAGCCGGCATACAGCTTCCGGATCATGTGGCCAGCAGGACTAAGCCGCTTCTGGCAAACCAGAGCAGCGCACGGAAACGCCGTTTACCTTCCCGCCGGAGCGGTACCTATTTCTCTACTTGCACTTGGACGTGCTTTCAAACTGCTAGGTTGGCAGGAGCTGGGGCCGAGCAACGAGAGCTCACCCCATCGTGGGGATTCGAACCGCTGACCTTCTGATTGGCAAGTCCTAGGCTCTGTGGTTTAACCCACAGCGCCACCCGTGTCCGTATCAATTTGAATATAATTGCTTAAAAGCAGGTGGCAAATCAACTAAAACCTTTCTCAGCCGGCTGGTGATCACACTTGTGGAAATGTTTGTTTTGGGTGGAACAGGAACAGGAATCGCAGGTTGCAAAAGGCCTCTATTTTGTCTTCCTTCGAGCTAGATGGGAGCTGCTTGTTCTTCTCTCGCGCTAAGCGGCTGCTAATGTGCTTATTGGCTTCCTCCCATTGAAAGAAACCTCCTTGTATTTGCCGCCAACTTATTTGAAGCTGCAAGTTTTCCTCTTTTTCCCCCTTCCCAGGGTTTTGCTCAGAGTTTCCTGAGAAGAATGTCTTACCGAAGTTCCGTTCCTGGTTGTGGAGTCACCTTTGAAATCGTCTCAAATATCCCAGAGGTGAATATATATATTTTTTTTGCAGAGCAAACCTCTTCCCTCAACTGCTGTCATATAGTTGTACAGTGGACACTCGGGTCGTGAACGTGATCCGTGCGTTCGCAACCCGCGTCTGCGCATGCGCGGGTTGCAATTTGGCGCTTCTGCACATGTGCAAAACGCAATTTAGCGAGCACAATTCAAAGTGTTGGTGCTGACTCTCAAAGCCCTAAATGGCCTCGGTCCAGTATACCTGAAGGAGCGTCTCCACGCCCATCGTTCTGCCTGGACACTGAGGTCCAGCTCCGAGGGCCTTCTGGCGGTTCCCTCACTGCAAGAAGCAAAGCTACAGGGAACCAGGCAGAGGGCCTTCTTGGTAGTGGCGCCCACCCTGTGGAACGCCCTCCCATCAGATGTCAAGGAAATAAGCAACTATCTGACTTTTAGAAGACCTCTGAAGGCAGCCCTGTTTAGGGACGTTTATAATGTTTGATGTTTTATCGTGTTTTTAATATTCTGTTGGGAGCCGCCCAGAGTGGCTGGGGAAACACCAGCCAGATGGGCAGGGCATAAATAAATAAATTATTTGGACTATGCAGAATTGGATAAGATGACAGGAAGGATTCGAAACCTGCGGGATCAGAGATTCTCAGAAGACTAGAATAAATATATGAATTATTTGAAAAGCAAATGTAATCAACAGATTACACTAGTAGGATTGCAAGAAGTTTTGTAAGGAGGACCATGCGAAATATTGCAGAGAAAACTATGATAAGAATTGTTGGTGAAGGAGTATTAAATGTAATACTGAAAATAATGAAATGCAGATTAAGTGATAAAGACTAGAAAATCTTCAGGTGCAGTTGATGGAAGTCCAAAACATTGTATAAGATAAGAAAGTATGTTATATGATTTTTGGAAATCATTTGTAAAAATATTAGTAAAATTTTATTATTATTATTATTATTGGAGCGTAACTAACTCCGGGCGGCTTGTCTTCCTTCCAGGATGCCCAGGGGGCAGAGGAGAGGGAGGCCCTGGCGAGAATGGCCGCCAACGTTGAGAACGCAGCTTCAGCCGATTCGGAAGCCCGGATAGAGAAGTACCTTCGGAGTGTCCTGGCCGTTGAGAACATCCTTACTTTGGACAGGTTGCGTCAGGTGAGCAGATGCCGAGTCGAAACGCCACGTGGCCGTTGGCTTGCTGTGAAGTTGTGGCCTCTGATGCAAAATCACAGAACCCGGGGAATTCTTCCCCTTGCATTCCTCGGGTTGCGAACGTGATCCGTGCGGGATGCACGTTCGCAACCCACAGCGTTTGCAACCCAAAGTGGCATGTCTGCGCATGCACGGGTTGCGATTCAGTGCTTCTGTGCATGCACAAAGTGCGATTTACAGCTTCTGCACATGCACGACCCCCGAAACCCGGAAGTAACCCTTTCCGGTACTTCAGGGTTTCAACCCGAAAAAACGCAACCTGAAGCATCTGTAACCCGAGGTATGACTGTAAATGGAGAACTTTTTATGAAATAAATGGCTAAATATTTTTGGGGAGACTATTACGTTTGTAGTCCTCATGTCTGCAAAGAACAGGCGTTGGTGGGTCGTCGTCCCACCCCCCTGTCTTCATTCAGCTCAGGTATTTACCTCTTGTTTCTGAAAGACCTACATTGGTCCAAAAAAAGACCTACATTGGCTCCCAGTACGTTTCTGGGCACAATTCAAAGTGTTGGTGCTGACCTTTAAAGCCCTAAATGGCTTTGGCCCAGTATACCTGAAGGAGCGTCTCCACCCCCATCATTCAGTGCGGACAGTGAGGCCCAGCGCCAAGGGCCTTTTGGCGGTTCCCTCCCTGCGAGAAGTGAGGTTACAGGGAACCAGGCAGAAGAGGGCCTTCTCAGTGGTGGCACCTGCCCTGTGGAAATTGTTTCCCATTTGGTTGTGTATTTTTTTGATGTGGTTTATTTATTGTTTATGACTTATGTAATTATGTAAATCTTGTCATGCTGTAAGCTGCCTTGAACATTGTTTTTTTAAATGTGGAAAGGCGGCATTTGTTGTTTAGTCGTGTCCGACTCTTCGTGACCCCATGGACCAGAGCACACCAGGCAGGCATACAAATAATAATTAAAAAATCATAAAACGTTAAGGAAATAAGCAACTATCTGACTTTTAGAAGACATCTGAAGGCAGCCCTGTTTAGGGACGCTTTTAATATTTGATGAATTATTGTATTTTAATATTTTGCTGGAAGCCGCCCAGAGTGGGCGGGGTATAAATAAATTATTATTATTATTATTATTATTATTATTATTATTATTATTATTATTATTATTTCTCTGTCACAGGAGGTTGCGGTGAAGGAACAGCTAACGGGCAAAGGAAAGCTCTACCGAAAGAGCCTCAGCTCACCCAACGTCAACCGAGTGAGTCTCCACAATTGTGTTTCTCCTTCCCTGGGAAATGCTGTGGGTGGCAGTGTGGCAGAGAAATGTTCCACCTCTTCTTGCAGCTGGGGAACAGTATGTGCTTGGGAACAGGGACCACCCCACCAGTCTCAGTACCTTTGTAAGCACACCTGTCCTTAAGGTGAGGGCTGGCATCCACCTCTGCTGCCAAGCCAAGAAGGCCGGGCTCCAAAATCCATGTGGGAGCTCAGCTCACCTCTTCTCGCATAGCTTTTCCTGAAGTTTTAAAATCCAAGTTTTCCAAAATTTCACACATACATCTCAAAACATAATAAAAACATCCCCCCGACTGCCCCCCTGCTTTTTCCATGCTGTTTCTGTTTCCACACTGTTTTCTGTCTCTTAAACCTTAACAAACCTACTATAATCATTAAACCCTTCTGCTGCTCGTACTTCAAATACTGCTCACGTCTTCATCATATAAGAATATTTCTTTAAATAATCCGTTCTTCCACAAAACATTCATCATTCGGTTCTTTTGTTTTAGCTGTTCACTTTTGCCACACACACGCACAAAAAAAGTTAGCAAAGGGTTTTTTCTTTTTCTTTTTTAAAGTCCCCTCTTCCTTTTCACTCTTCCAGCTCTCCGGAAGCCGCCAGGATCTAAACCCACCGTACAGCCTCGCAACTTACAAAGTAAGATTTCAAAATCGCTTAGCAGGGTTCTTTTGTTTTGTTTTGAAAAATGTTTATGAGAGAGCACACCCTAGCAGGACAGAAAATGCCCTATTAGGAGCATAGACAGCTGTGTTACGCTGATCGCAGCCATTGGGCTACTTAGTTCAGTATTGTCTTCACTGGCAGGCAGCAGCTTTGCAGGACTTCAGACAAGGGTGTCACCCAGCCTTGCCTGGAGAAGCCAGGGATTGAATTTGGGACCTTCTGCATGTTAGGATGTGAATAGATACTAGGAGAGGCTCTATTTATTAGATCCTTCCTTGCTCACATTTGTGAGTTCAGTGCCACGCCTTGTGTGGTGTAGAGAGCCAGCGTGGTGTAGTGGTTAAGAGCGGTGGACTCGTAATCTGGGGAACTGGGTTCGATTCCCCGCTCCTCCACATGCAGCTGCTGGGTGACCTTGGGCCAGTCACTCTTCTCTGAAGTCTCTCAGCCCCACTCACCTCACAGAGTGTTTGTTGTGGGGGAGGAAGGGAAAGGAGATTGTTAGCCGCTTTGAGATTCCTTCAGGTAGTGATAAAGCGGGATATCAAATCCAAACTATTCTTCTTTGCATCTTAAAAGGGAAGCTTATATGGGATAGTTTTACCCTTTAAAGTCATCTGAGATGCTCTAAGGCAGACTAGATTCTCCTGGTATTCCCCCCTTAAAATAACAATAGCACAGACAGTTTTGCAAAAGGCAAAACATCATCATCTTCTTCATCATCATAATTTATTTATACCCCGCCCATCTGGCTGTGTTCCCCCAGCCACTCTGGGCAGCTTCCAACAAAATATTAAAATACAATAGTCCGTCAAACATTAAAAGCTTCCCTAAACAGGGCTGCCTTCAGATGTCTTCTAAAAGTCAGATTGTTGTTTATTTCCTTGACATCTGATGGGAGGGTGTTCCACAGGGCGGGCGCCACCACCAAGAAGGCTCTATGCCTGGTTCCCTGTAACTTCACTTCTCACAGCGAGGGAACCGCCAGAAGGCCCTCGGAGCTGGACCTCAGTGTCCAGGCAGAATGATGGGGGTGGAGACGCTCCTTCAGATATACTGGACCAAGGCCGTTTAGGGCTTTAAAGGTCAGCACCAACACTTTGAATTGTGTTTGGAAGCATACTGGGAGCCAATGTAGGTCTTTCACATTGGCTCTACACATCAGATCAATACTTTTCTGCACCAAGAAATGCAAACTGACACCAGGGAGATTCTGCATGCAAGGCAAGATGATCTGCCGCTTCTTCGCCTTCCCCTTGTAACGGAACGGGATGCCAGGACGTAGCTCCCGTTCAGCCTTGGCTGAAGATTCAGCAGAGGAATCTTCTTCCCAACCATTTTTCGGGTTGTGAAATGCCCTTGCGCTTTTAGCACTTGTGTCCCTTATGTGCAAACTGAGGGAGGACCGTAGATGGTGCCATCCCAGGCATCTCCAAGAAAGGCTGGCAAGGAATTCTGCCCGAAACCCTGGGGAGATGTTGGCGGTCATTGCAGACAGCGCTGAGCTAGGTAGACCGGTGGCTCTGACACAGTGAAAGACAACTTGTTCCATCCATAGCTAAGCATGTTCTCAGTCCTGTTGTTTTCAGTGAAAGCGAGTTGGGCGCTTCCTCGATTCTCCTTCTTGGAAGTCAACGGGACTTGACGTGGTTTGTCTCTGTAAGAGCCATAACTTCTGCTGGAAAAGCGTTGGAGGAAATCCATGGCTCCTTTTTGGAGGGGGCGGCTTCTGCATTTCCCAATATTTCTGTCAGATTCCAGAGCATCTGCAAAGCGACCCGTCAAGGCATGTTCCCTTTGACCAAGCTAAGGGGACTTTTAATTTGCGCTGGGGTGGGGAGGGCAGGGTGTGCCGAATCATTCATAATCCGGATTTTCATTGTTCTCTCTTTCTTTTATGTTTTTGTTTCTTAACCCTTCAACGGTATCCACCCCTCATTGCATGTGTCAGTATCCAAAGGTCCAGGCAGAGGTAACTAATTCATTAGGTTCACCTAATGAACGGATAAATCTGTTATCCCATTCTGGAGTGCTTTCCCGTAAACCTCCTTGCTCACTAACCCTTAAAAACCTGCTTTGGAAATGCTGTTGTCGTTCTTCGTTTTCGCCCTGTGCTTCGTTAACCTGGGAGGAGGCGTAACCCTTTTAAAAGGTGGTGGTGGTCAGCATGTCAGTGTGGGACGCGCATTGCTCCCTGAGCCGTGAGCCTGTTGACTTTGTCCGACTAGTCAAATAAGTCTTGATTCTGATATCCTATCTCTTGTACAGTGCCATCAACTTGCAGAGAACTTTAGACCACAAAATAAGCCCCAGATACATTGGGTATCTGCCCCAAAGACCCTACAGTGCTGACAAAAAGCCCGTGGGGATAAAAATGGCTAGCAATAGATGCACACGAGCCAATGGAATTACAGTCATACCTCGGGTTGAATGTGCTTCGGGTTGAGCGCGTTCGAGTTGTGCTCCACGGCAACCCGGAAGTAACGGAGCGCATTACTTCCGGGTTTGGCTGCTCGCGCATGCGCAGACGCTAAAAATGATGTCACGCACATGCGCGGAAGCAGCAAAACGCACAGGTGCGCCGTCACATCTTACGTTGCGTTCAGGATGCGAACGGGGCTCCAAAACGGATCCCGTTTGCACCCTGAGGTGCCACTGTATAAGCATAAACATAGCGCATAGATCAAGTGTGTTGGGCTCCATGATCACTGCAGATGGTGACAGCAGTCACAAAATTAAAACACACCTGCTTCTTGGGAGAAAAGCAATGATAAACCAAGACAGCATCTTGAGAAGTAGAGACGTCACCTTGCCAACAAAGGTCTGTATAGTTAAAGCCATGGTTTTCCCAGTAGTGATGTATGGAAGTGAGAGCTGGACCATAAAGAAGGCTGATCGCCGAAGAATTGATGCTTTTGAATTCTGGTGCTGGAGGAGACTCTTGAGAGTCCCATGGACTGCAAGAAGATCAAACATGTCCATTCTGAAGGAAATCAGCCCTGAGTGCTCACTGGAAGGACAGATCCTGAAGCTGAGGCTCCAAGACTTTGGCCACCTCATGAGAAGAGAAGACTCCCTGGAAAAGACCCTGATGTTGGGAAAGATGAAGGGCACAAGGAGAAGGGGACGACAGAAGACGAAATGGTGGGACAGTGTTCTTGAAGCTACGAACATGTGTTTGACCAAACTGCGGGAGGCAGTGGAAGACAGGAGTGCCTGGCGTGCTCTGGTCCATGGTGTCACGAAGAGGCGGACACATCTAAACGACTAAAAAACAACAGGAATTCGTTCATATATTTTTTTCAAAATATAGTCCGGCCCCCCACAAGGTCTGAGGGATAGTGGACCGGCCCCCTGCTGAAAAAGTTTGCTGACCCCTGACCTTGATGATGTCCGTGGGCAAACCTGGATTTCCCCACTCTGGGCTTGGGCTCACTTCCTTTCACCTTATACATTTTGCCTTGCGGGATCAGACCCATGATTCATCCAGCCTCGCTGCACCAACTCTCTGCTTTTAAGATGACAGCGGTGGTCCGAGATCTCCCCGCAGTTTCCCCCTGGGCTCGTCTGCAAAACAGGTGCGTGGAGAGGGGCAGGAAGGCGAAAGATCGTGCAGAAGGCGCCGAGGCATTTGTGCATCAACCTTTCAAGGTAAAGGGGAGAGCAAGATGTTCTTAAAAGTGTCTGCTGAGAATTAGCTTAATGAAGTCTGACCTCTGTGCCCAGTCATTTGGCAGAGGTTTCGCCAGACAAATAATGAATAAGTCCGTTCTTGTCTTTCTCTATTATCACGATCCTTTTCGGGAGGCTGAAGTGATGAGCGTGATCGCTCTCTCTCTCTCTCTGCCTGAAACCACGTCAGGGGAGCGATAGATCTGTGGCTGTGATTCAGCCTGAGCTTGTAAGAAGGTCTTCAACGCTGATGTCTCACTTTGAACGTTACGGATCCGTAGCACCAAGGGATGGGAGTTGTCCTCCGAAACATCTGGCTCTTTCTGTGCATTCCGTCCCCACCTTCCCGGGCTTCTAATCGCGGATGATAAAATTACGGCTTTGCAAAAAAATCACAAATTGTGGGGTAACTGTAGCTGATAGGAGCAACCTCCAACGGCGTCGTGGGCAAAATGTTCTCAATTGCCGTAATCTTCTGATTACAGCGGGTCACACATTGGACCAAAGGCTGGAGGCTCCTTAAACCTGTCTTAATTTCCTAATTAGGTTGCAGAAGCCTAGGCCAGGTTTATTCAAAGAGCAGTAACCTGTACAACTGGGTTGCGGTTCTGCGTCATCCGAAGAGAAGCATCACCATTGCAGCTAGCTGCCGGTTGTGGGACAAAGTGATCGGAATATTTTCTACGGACTGATATTCTACGGACTGTTTTTTGACCACATCTCCCATCAGCCCCAGCCCAAGGGGCTGAGGAGACTGTGGCTGTGCTGAGTCTGATAATAATAATAATAATAATAATAATAATAATAATAATAATAATAATAATGCCCCAAATATCTGGCTGGGCTTCCCCAGCCACTCCTGTGGCTTACAGGATATCTAAAAACATAATACAGTCGTACCTTGGTTGCTGAACGCCTTGAAACTCGTACTTTTCGGCTCCTGAACGATCAAAACCTGGAAGTGAGTGTTCCGGTTTTCGAACGGTTTTCGGGGCTTGAACATCCGGCCCAGCTTCTGCGGCTTCCGATTGGCTGCAGCACACTCCTGCAGGCAATTGGACGTCGCGCCTTGGTTTTCGAACGGACTTCCGGAATGCATTCTGTTCGAGAAGCAAGGTACAACTGTAAAGGGGAATTGGATTCCGAAACTTCTGAAAGGTTGCAGAGGGCATTTTAGAAATCTCAAGAGAGATTTTATTAAATTACCCTGCCACCCTTCATCTGAGGAGCACAAGACTCTTTGCAATATAAAAACACAAAAATACATAACAATGCCACCCTCCCCGTTTCAAAGACCATAGGTTGTTTAATTAGCAAAAGGCCTGGAAGAAGAGGACTGCTTTTGCCTGGTGCCTAAAGATACGCAACAGAGGTACCAGGCGAGTCTCCCTGGGGAGAACATTTCCCAAATGGGGAGCCACTGCAGAAAAGGCCCTGTTTTCGTGTTGCCACCCTCCGGACCTCTTACGGAGGAGGCACACGAAGAAAGACTTCGGTTGATGATCTCAGGGTATATATGGGAAGAAGCGGTCCTTGAGGTATTGAGGTCCTGAGCCGTTTTAAGGCTTTATAGGTCAAAAACAGTGCTTTGAATTGTTCTTTGGGTTCTTTGAGATAAGTAATTGTTTTCAAAGCTTTTTTAGGAAATTATACACACAAGGGCCAGTGAATGAACAAGAAATAGATGAATTTCTTAAAAATCATGGACTACCTAAAATTTCAGAACAGAGCAAGCTGACTTTGAATGAGAAAATAACAGAGCAAGAAATAGAGGAGGCCATTCAAAAAGCGCAATTGGGAAAGTCTCCAGGACCAGATGGTTTGACGGCTAGATATTATAAAGTTTTGAAAGAATGTTTAGTGCAACCATTGAAAGAAGTCTGCAATGAAATATTGGAGGGGAAAAAGGCACCTGAAACGTGGAAAGAGGCTTTTATTTCACTTATACCAAAAACTGAGACTGAAAAGAATCAGGTTAAGAACTACCGCCCGATATCATTACTAAATGTGGATTACAAAATATTTGCAGACATTTTAGCAAAAAGACTGAAGAAAGTATTGATAGGTGAGATTCATAAGGACCAAGCTGGCTTTCTCCCGGGAAGACATATGTCTGATAATGTGAGGAACATAATAGACATTGTGGAACTGCTGGAAATGAACATTAATAGAAAAGCAGTTTTGATCTTTGTGGACGCGGAGAAAGCCTTTGACAATATTTGTTGGAGTTTTATGAAAAAGAATCTCCAAGGGATGGGGGTAGGCCAAGGTTTTGAAAATGGTATAGGTGCAATATACTCTGAGCAGAAGGCAAAGCTAATTGTGAATAATGTGGTAACGGAAGAGATAGCCATAGAGAAAGGAACACGACAGGGATGCCCTATCTCCCCTCTACTTTTCATACTGGTCCTGGAGGTTTTGTTAAATATGATTAGAAAGGACCAGTTGGTCAAAGGAATTCAGGTCGGAGTGAAAGAGTATAAACTGAGGGCATTTGCAGATGACCTAGTTTTGACTTTACAGCAGCCAAACACTAGTACAAAAAGAGTTTTAGAACTGATTGAGATATTTGGTCAAGTTGCAGGATTTAAATTGAATAAACAAAAAACTAAAGTGCTGGAGAAAAACCTAACAAATGAGGAAAAAGAGACATTTCAGAATGAAACAGGTTTGGAGATAGCAAAAAAAGTGAAGTACTTGGGGGTGAACTTGACAGCGAAAAATGTGAACTTATTTAAGGACAATTATGATAAATGTTGGACAGAAGTCAAGAAAGATTTAGACATATGGTCAAGGCTGAAACTTTCCTTGTTAGGCAGAATTGCTGTTATTAAAATGAATGTATTGCCTAGAATGTTATTCCTGTTTCAGACATTACAAATAATAGACAAGATGGACTGTTTCAAGAGGTGGCAGAAAGACATATCGAAATTTGTTTGGCAGGGCAAAAAGCCAAGAATAAAATTTAAGACATTAACAGATGCGAAAGATAGAGGAGGTTTTGCCCTGCCGGACTTAAGACTTTACTACGAATCAGCAGCGTTTTGCTGGTTGAAAGACTGGCTGCTCCTCGAGAATACAGACATTTTGGATCTTGAAGGGTTTGATAACAGATTTGGTTGGCATGCATATATATGGTATGACAAGGTAAAAGTACACAAAGGCTTTAAGAACCATATGGTGAGGAAAGCTCTGTATAATGTCTGGATAAGGTATAAAGATTTGTTTGAAAGCAAAACCCCTAGGTGGCTGTCACCAATGGAGGCAAATGAGGTGAAAAAACTGAATATGGGTTCTAATTGGCCTAAATATTTTGAAATGATAGAACAAGATGGTGAAAAAGTAAAATTGCAGAGTTTCGAGAATCTGAAGTTTAAGGTGAGAGATTGGCTACATTATCGACAGATAAATGAAGTATTTAAACAGGACAGAAAGAAAGGCTTCCAAGTGGAGAAGTCAAAACTAGAAACAGAACTGTTAGAACCCAATACTAAAAACTTGTCAAGAATGTACAACTTGCTGTTGAAATGGAATACTCAAGATGAAATGGTGAAATCTAGTATGATTAAATGGGCACAGGATATAGGGCATGATATTGAGCTTGCTGACTGGGAGCAGTTATGGACCACTGGTGTTAAATTTACGGCATGTAATGCCTTAAGAGAAAACATTATGAAAATGATCTACAGGTGGTACATGACTCCGGCTAAGTTAGCAAAGATTTATCATCTGCCCAATAACAAGTGTTGGAAGTGCAATGAAACGGAGGGAACCTTCTATCACCTTTGGTGGACCTGCCCGAAGATTAAGGCTTTCTGGGAAATGATCTATAATGAAATTAAAAAAGTTCTGAAGAGAACCTTTAATAAAAAAGCCAGAAGCCTTTCTCCTGGGTATGGTGGGCCAAATGGTGCCAAAGAAGGATAGGACATTTTTAATGTATGCTACAACAGCAGCAAGAATCCTTCTGGCAAAGTATTGGAAGACACAAGATCTACCCACGTTGGAAGAATGGCAGACGAAGGTGATTGATTATATGGGACTGGCAGAGATGACTGGCAGAATCCGAGACCGGGGGAAAGAGGCAGTGGATGAAGACTGGAACAAATTCAAAGTTTATCTTAAAAACTGTTGTAAATTGGAAAATTAGAGGATCAGGGGTAATAAGAGATAAAGAACTACAGTTGTTTTATCATTTTATGGAAGTTAAATTTACGAAATAGAAATAAGTTTAATACGAAAGGGTTGCTGGAAAATCTTGAAACAAGAATGCAGAAAAGGGGTGGTATGGGGAAGTCGTTTTTGTGTTTATTTATGTTTTTGCTTTGTTTTCTTTTTTACTTATGGAAAATTAATAAAAATTTATTAAAAAAAAAAAGAATTGTTCTTTGGGTCAAGGATTCCTGTTCTTGCTGCTCTGTTTTGCTTATGACGTTTTCTACGGGGAAACTTTGGCCAAGTATTTCCTGAGCGTTGGGACTTCCGGTTTCATCTCTCTCCCCCGCCCCCTTTCTGAATTATTTCAGAGTCGTTGGGGAAAGCCAGCAAGACGTATCACAAAACTCAGTGCATTCCAACAGGTCCAGGTCTAGCCTATCGGACTCTCCGCAGCAGAACGGTTCTGCAGACCCAGGTAAGAGCGTAACCAGCGAAAGAAGCCCTTGTGGTTAGCCAGGGTAGGACAGAGAACACACACACACAGCCCAGTTGTATCTAGGCTACTTCTTAAGAAGTACTTAGGCTTGCAAAGATGTGTAAGACTGAATGAGATAAGTGCTGGAGATGCAAAGGCAGAGGGAACGTTCTTTCCTATGTGGTGGACTTGTAAAAGGGTAAAAGATTATTGGGAAACGATCCATAATGAATTGAAAAAAATGTTCAAAAGTGCTTTCCCAAAAAACCTAGAGTCCTTTCTGTTGAGGATAATTGAGACTGAAATTCCCAGGTGTCAAAAAAGGTTATTCAATAATAATAATAATAATAATAATAATAATAATGATGATGATGATGATAATAATTTATTATTTATGGGCAGCTTCCAACAGAATATTAAAATACAGTGGTACCTTGGGTTCCACTTCAGGTTACAGACTCCGCTAACCCAGAAATATTACCTCAGGTTAAGAACTTTGCTTCAGGATGAGAACACAAATCGTGCTCCGGTGGCGTGGTGGCAGCGGGAGGCCCCATTAGCTAAAGTGGTACCTCAGGTTAAGAACAGTTTCAGGTTAAGAACAGACCTCCAGAACGAATTAAGTACTTAACCCGAGGTACCACTGTACAATAGTCTATTAAACATTAAAAGCTTCCCTAAACAGGGCTGCCTTCAGATGTCTTCTAAAAGTCTGGTAGTTGTTTTTCTCTTTGACATCTGCTGGGAGGGCGTTCCGCAGGACAGGTGCCACCACCGAGAAGGCCCTCTGCCTGGTTCCCTGTAACTTGGCTTCTCGCAGGGAGGGAACCGCCAGAAGCCCCTCCGCAATGGACCTCAGTGTCTGGGCAGAATGGTGGGGGTGGAGACGCTCCTTCAGGTATACAGGACCGAGGCCGTTTAGGGCTTTAAAGGTCAGCACCAACACTTTGAATTGTGCTTGGAAACGTACTGGGAGCCCCTACTGTATTCCACTACTGTGGTCCATGTTCTGTTAGCCCAAAAATGGAAAACGAGTGAGGTTGCAACTAAAGAAGAATGGCAACTTAAGTTGACGGAATATGCACAACTTGCAGACTTAACATATAGAATAAGAGAACAAGAAGAACATATGGTTAGAGAAGATTGGAAAACGTTTTTTGAATATATGGGGAATAATTGTGTACAGCTGAAAACGCTTGCAGAATGAAGATAAATTCAACAGTGTAAATAAGTTTTGATGGGTATAATAACGGAATACTGAACGGTACAGTTTTTTGTAAAAGATGCAGGGATTTATCATATGTAAAATGAACCATGGAAAGAGAAGAAGGGAAGTCATTGATTTCTTAAGGATGTAAAAATGAGTATTTTTAATTGCAAAACAGAAAATTTAATAGAAATTATATACAGAAGCATTGCTGTCTCAGACACTAGGCTGGTAGCCACGGAAAGCCCTCTCCTACTCCGTGAATTTCTCTAACCCTCTTTTAAAGCCATCGAAGTTGGTGGCTGTCCCTGCGTCTTGTGGCAGGGAGTTCCACAGTCTAACTGTGCACTTCATGACAAAACCATTTCTTGTATCTCTGGACTCCTGGCTTTAACCGAACCAGCCCAAAGGCTTGGAATTGGTTCAGAGTGGGTTTTTCATAGCGCTGTGGGCATTCAGTAGGCCAAGGGTATGGCAGAGTTTTGAATTGCTTGTTGTCGTTGTTGTCCCTAGGACTTGGTAGCCTGGCTGCATCCTACTTGAATCCTGTGAAGTCCTTCGTGCCTCAGATGCCAAAGCTGCTTAAATCCCTGTTTCCTGTACGGGATGAGAAGAAGGGCCGCCAGCTGTCTCCCTTGGCACAGCAGGTATAATAAGCGCGTGATATATGGGGAAAGGAGGGGAAAGGGAATTATGCAGAATTTCTGGTCGATACACATAATCTCTAACAGGCTTTGGAGGAATGTGCCTATCAGGACTCCCATTTTCTGCGTCCTCCAGCTATTATGGATAATCACCCAATGGAGATCACGTATTTGGTTTTTATATTTATAATAATAATAATAATAATTTATTATTTATACCCCGCCCATCTGGCTGGGCTTCCCTAGCCACTCTGGGCGGCTTCCCAAAAAAATTTAAAATACTATAATACATCAAACATTAAAAGCTTCCCTAAACAGGGCTGCCTTCAGATGTCTTCTAAAAGTCTGGTAGTTGTTGTTCTCTTTGACATTTGGTGGGAGGACATTCCACAGGGAGGGTGCCACCACCGAGAAGGCCATCTGCCTGGTTCCCTGTAACTTGGCTTCTCGCAGTGAGGGAACAGCCAGAAGGCCCTTGGCGCTGGACCTCAGTGTCTAGGTAGAACGATGGGGGTGGAGACGCTCCTTCAGATATACTGGACTGAAGCCGTTTAGGGCTTTCAAGGTCAGCACCAACACTTTGAATTGTGCTCGGAAACGTACTGGGAGCCAATGTAGGTCTTTCAAGACCGGTGTTATGTGGTCTCGGCGGCCGCTCCCAGTCACCAGTCTAGCTGCCGTGTTCTGGATTAGTTGTAGTTTCTGGGTCACCTTCAAAGGTAGCCCCATGTAGAGCGCATTGCAGTAGTCCAAGCGGGAGATAACCAGAGCATGCACCACTCTGGCGAGACAGTCTATGGGCAGGTAGGGTCTCAGCCTGCGTACCAGATGGAGCTGGTAGACAGCTGCCCTGGACACGGATTTGACCTGCACCTCCATTGACAGCTGAGAGTCCAGAATGACTTTTGCTCAAAGCCGCCCAGAATGGCTGGGGAAACCCAGTCAGATGGGCAGTATAAGAATAACAAAACAACAACGAATATTATTGTTATTACGACTTGGAAAAGTGCACATTTTCCCTCTCCATAAAAAGATCAGCTGGCGAATGTGCAAAGCCGCCCATTTTTGTGCATATTAACGACACAAGATGCATAACCTCGTAACATACATGACAAGTTTGACACAGTGCCATTGTGAGGCAGGTTACTGACGATCTCAGAGGAGCTCACGAATCGGGTTTCAGGGCTATTGAAAGGAAAACTAAAATATTGCCACTCTTCCATAATAAATGCATATTGATTGAAAGTCATAACGGTATTGAGTGTTTAGTGACTCAAGCTGAAAGGTTGTGTTTGGGTCAGTGTCTGGCAATCACTGTTTCTGGGCTATTTTATGCCCCCCTTTTTACTTGACGCGCTGTTTTTGCGAGAATGTGAAATATAGTAGAAAAGGATATATTGAATAAGTATTATCCTTCCCTAACTCAAGCTAGTAACTGATGCAGCAGAGCATGTTCCGCTCAATATAGCTGGAAACTAGTTTGCAGATTCGTTTGAATCTCTTAGTTAATATTATTCCCAGTGTCACCTTTGATCTTAGAAGAATAAAGACACGAGAGTCTGTCTGAGTAAAGTAACAAAAGGTTTACTCACATTTCAGTTCACAATTTGATCCCGGAAAGGCAGGCTTTCCTAAATAGTTACAAAAAGAAACTCTTGAGTGAATCTCATATGGAGACTGAATTTGTGTGTTGCTGGCTGAGAGCCAGCAGACATAAAAATTACATTTAGAGTGCAAAATGGCTGCAGGAGAGCAGAATGGCTGCAAAAGACAGAGCAAGACAACAGCAGTGTCAAGACCAACTAAACTGGGAAAATGGCTGGAGTCAGCCAGAGCCACCCCATCTCCCAAGTCACATCCAGGGAGAATAGAATAGAATAGAATAGAATAGAATAGAATAGAATAGAATAGAATAGAATAGAATAGAATAGAATAGAATAGAATTTATTATTTATACCCCGCCTATCTGGCTGGGTTTCCCCAGCCACTCTGGGCAGCTGCCAACAAAGTATTAAAATACAGTAGTCGGTTAAACATTAAAAGCTTCCCTAAACAGGGCTGCCTTCAGATGTCTTCTAAAAATCTGGTAGTTGTTCTTCTCTTTGACATCTGGTGGGAGGGTGTTCCACAGGGAGGGCGCCACCACCGAGAAGGCCCTCTGCCTGGTTCCCTGTAACTTGGCTTCTCGCAGTGAGGGAACTGCCAGAAGGCCCTCGGAGCTGGACCTCAGTATCCGGGCAGAACAATGGAGACGCTCCTTCATATATACTGGACTGAGGCCGTTTAGGGCTTTCAAGGTCAGCACCAACGCTTTGAATTGTGCTCGGAAACATACTAGGAGCCAATGTAGGTCTTTCAAGACCGGTGTTATGTGGTCTCGGCAGCCGCTCCCAGTTACCGGTCTAGCTGCCGCATTCTGAAGCTCCAGACCAGTGGAACAGGAAGTTACGCCGACTTGATGTCCCCTCTAGGGAAGCAGGGAATGTTGCATTTGAAGAAGAGAAGAAGAAGAGTTTGGATTTGATATCTCGCTTTATCACTACCCTAAGGAGTCTCAAAGCAGCTAACATTCTCCTTTCCCTTCCTGCCCCACAACAAACACTCTGTGAGGTGAGTGGGGCTGAGAGACTTCAAAGAAGTGTGACTAGCCCAAGGTCACCCAGCAGCTGCATGTGGAGGAGCGGGGAAGCGAACCTGGTTCACCAGATTACGAGACTACCGCTCTTAACCACTACACCACACTGGCATCCATTTGAATGCACCAATGGATTACATCCCACCGTTTTCGGTTTGCAAAATGCTCCAGCAAGTTCCCAAGGAGTTGCGGTGGCTCTCTTGACATTTCCCTGGTGCCGACGTCGGTGCCCCTTTCATCTCGGCATGCCCCTAGGCTGAAGCCTCACAAGCAGATGGGGCTGCGAGGGGCCGGGCCTCGAAAGCCCCCCGGATTTCATTCCGTGTGTGTCTTGCCTCGGGCGGGAGATCGCCGCCAAAGAGCGGCATTTCAATATCATCTTTTATTCTATTAAATCTGTAAAGGTTAGCTTTAAAAAGCAGCTATTCGAGTTGCATATTAAGTATGCGCAATAACCCCTTTCATGAGGCTGGAGAGGCATACTTGACGCAGTTCCCGGCCCGGATCTGTGGCTTTAATTACGTGGCTCCTTTCTGGGAGTCAAGAGGTAGCTTGGAGTTAACCTTCAGGAAACAATAACCAGCGATCGGTGAGCATGTAGCACTAGTCTAGAATTTATTGAGTTAGTCTGCAGAGCATCTCAAAAGAGCACAGAATTAAATTCAGAACTTCAAAGTATGCATAACATAGTTTCGTATCAGTAATAAAATGAAACGGAAATAAAATAAAATATCTTAATGTGTAGATACTCTCAGAACTTGGAAGCTCCACAACAGTTGGGGGAAACAGATTTCAAATTTATTTGTTTTTCTGTGGCTGCCCTCCAGGTCACGTAACAGGTTATTTATTAGCAACTGAAAGCTCAGTTTTTATTGCACATTCCAGTACTTCTTGTTCTTTAGCAAGGGATCTAGGTAGCTTTCTCCAATATCAGAATTAAGCAGAAGTTCAAGAATATAGAGGGGGAAACCCCCCAAAACGGCTGCTCCAAAAAAATACCTTCAGCTCACTCTAAGCGCTGCTTTGCATCCCAAAAGGTAGGGTACAAATTTAACAAGCATAAACAGGTATGCAGACAGTGAGCAACAGAACTATAAAAAGGGAAGACTTTGAATCGAAGAGACAAAAGGCTCTCTATTTACCGTATTTTTTGCTCTATAACTCACCTTTTCCCTCCTAAAAAGTAAGGGGAAATGTGTGTGCGTCTTATGGAGCGAATGCAGGCTGTGCAGCTATCCCCGAAGCCAGAACAGCAAGAGGGATTGCTGCTTTCACTGCGCAGAGATCCCTCTTGCTGTTCTGGCTTCTGAGATTCAGAATATTTTTTTCTTGTTTTCCTCCTCCAAAAACTAGGTGCGTCTTGTGGTCTGGTGCGTCTTATGGAGCGAAAAATATGGTACATGGAGGAAACTCTGTAATCCAGCTTTCAATTCAGGGTAGATTTTGGATTGTCAAAACAGAAATCAGCTAAATTCTAGTTTGCATATTATAGACTTAAAGAATTGTAGAGTTGGAAGAGACCGCAAGGATTGTGCAGTCCACGCCCCCTGCCTCTTGCAACGCAGGAATTTATTTGTTTGTTTGTCCAAAATATTTCTTTTTAAAAATAATCATGATATTTATTAAGTTTTCCATTTTAACAATCCAATATAAACCACTGGCATGCTTTCGAACTGCTAGGTTGGCAGGAGCAGGGACCGAGCAATGGGAGCTCACCCCATCGCGGGGATTTGAACCGCCGACCTTCTGATCAGCAAGCCCAAAAGGCTCAGTGGTTGAGACCACAGCGCCACCTGCGTCCCTATAAGGGATCTAGATAGCTATCCCCAATTTCAGAATAAAGCAGAAGTTCAAGAATATAGTGGGGGGAATCCTTCCAAACTACTGCTCCAAAAGAATACATTTTCAGCTCACTCTTAGCGCTGCTTTGCATAAAGTGCCTTTGCGCATGGCGACCTCTTTGTTGTCACGGCCGGGCTTCCAAACACGCCAGCATCTCTCTGCACCTGCGGTTGACTTCTCCCATGCTGCGTGAGAAGTCAGCCTGCTTTTGCCAGCCATCTCCATCCCGCCTCCATCGGCCCCTGTGCTCCGATGTCTACCCATTGAACAAAACCTTTTGGGGGGCCACAGGAGCTAGAATCATAGAATTGCCTTGCTGGGGGCAGTTTAGACCTGGGGGTGTTCCTTCCAGATCTGCAGTTCCATGTTTCACCATGCATAATTTTGCACGCCTCTGTAAGTCTGTGTTAGACTTGGAAAGAACTTTGCTCTGAAGTGGGCGGGCGCCCTTTTGCGTTACGTTCTCTAGAGTTGAACTGCCACGGTTTTGTCAGTCTATGGGCGATAAGGGAGTTTGTGTGTCCAT